GTTATACAGAAGCAGAAAGACTCAGATAAGAAAAGTTCATATGCAAAGTTTTTTAATGAGAGAAATCCATATAACTATAAATTGAGTATAGAGGAATCAGAAAGAATGGAAAGTATGGTTAATAGGTTAAAATGTTTAAATGCACTTAAAAAACATGAAAAATTCAAAATCTCCTGGATTGGATGGATTTACAGTTGAGTTTTATAAAATGTTTTGGAATGATATTCATGAACCTCTTATTAATTCTTTTAATGAATCTTTTGAAAAGGGATAATTACCTGTATCTCAAAAGAAGGTAACTCAAAATTATTTTTAGAAAACTGGTGACCTATATCACTTTTAAATGTAGATTATAAAATTGTTTCGGCAAGTATTGCAAACAGAAATAAACCTGACTTAAATAAACTTATTAGCGAGTCACAAAAAGGCTTTGTAAAGGTTTTGTAAAGGATAGATACATAGGGGAATGTACTAGATTTATTTTAGCTATAATTGAAAAAACACACGAAAATAATATCCCGGGATTACTTGTATTACTAGACTTTGAAAAGGCTTTCGATTCCTTAGAATGGACATTTATTCAAAAAGCATTAGAATTTCAAGGATTTGGGCCTAATTTAAGAAGATGGATAAAAACTTTCCATAATAACTGTTCAAGCTGTATTTCTAAGAATGGACATATTTCACAATTCTTTGATATCGAAAGAGGAGTTAGACAAGGGGACCCTTTGTCTCCGTATATTTTTATCTTATCTATAGAACTGCTTAGTTCATCCCTTAAATTTAATCCAAACAAACAGGTATAAACATAGAACATTCTGAATATATGTTGAGCCAATATGCAGATAATTCAACATTATGTCTAGACGACGCTGAAACTTCATTAGAAAATGCCTTGAACACTCTTGATCTTTTTGCTGATTGTTCTGGTTTAAGAACAAACATGGACAAAACTCATATAATATGGATTGGGGTTAAACGGGGTTGTGGTGAGGAATACTTACAGGAGCGAGGTCTACATTGGAATCATAATGGAAAGTTCAAACTACTAGGCATATTGTATGACCTCACAAGAGCAGATATCACTGAACACAATTTTGAAGAAAATATTATAGCAAGTAACAAACTATCATTGATTGGTCTTTCAGAAATTTGAGCTATTTGGGTAAAATTACAGTAATAAAAACATCAGTACTACCAATATTTACACATTTATTTTCTACACTTTCAGATCCACCAGAGACATTTTTCAAAAACCTTCAAAAGATTTTTTTCAACTTTTTGTGGTCTTGGAAAAAGGACAAAATTAAAAGAAATATATTGATAAACACATATGAAAATGGAGAATTAGTATACCACATGTAAAATCATATTGCCGAGCTAGAAAAATGTCATGGATAAGGAAATTGTTGGATCCAGAAATTTATTCAAATTGGAAAATATTAATATCAAGTAAGGTGGAAAAAATAGGGGAGATAAACTCTGGAACTTGAACAGAGAAGGACTACAGAATTTTTTTAAATAATTTAACACATTTTGGTGTAGTGTACTTCAAATTTGGGCTTCTTAGAATCGTTCACCTCCCACAACCCCGAATGATCTATTATCCCCGCTATTATGGCTAAATGAAAAAATACAAATGAATAATAAGCATGTCATATACTATAAGTGGATAGAGCATGATGTGTTTTTTCATAAATGATTCATTACATGAAAATGGAGAATTCCTATCTTTTGAAGACTTTAAGCAGAAGTACAATAAAAATACTAATGTGGTTACTTATCAAGGGCTACTCTCAGCTATTCCGAGGAGTTGGAAGCAAAATATCATCCATAATGGTGAAAAAAGTACTAACACTGAATGCAAATTAGTTTCTCTTTTTAAGTCAAATGAAAAAGTTGCGAAATGTTTCTATAATCTTTTTATCATGGATCATCACGAAATTCCAGTTAAAAGTTTAGAAAAATGGAAAGAAAAATTCGAAACTGCATTTAATAGAGAAGACTGGAAGTCTATATACAAGGCACAATTTTTATTAACTGACGATACAAATTTACAAACCTTTCAATTTAAGCTACTTCATAGAATTTTATATACAAATTCTAGACTTCTGATCATGAAAATCGTGGAAAGTGGGCTTTGTGCTTTCTGTTTGGCTAATAGAGAAACACTTGAATATCTTTTCTGGGAATGCCCCTTTTCTCGCTTCCTATGGGAATCGTTAAAAATGGCTTTGAGTCTAATCTAAATGTAGTATTTCATATGACTTGTCCTTTTGTCCGTTTAGGCTGTAATAATGATCTTCAATTTGATGATATAAATTTTTGCATTCCACTGGCAAAAAAAAATATTTATACCTGCAAATGCAAAAACTCTATCCCATCTATTGATGGAGTCAAATCGATGTTATTATATCATAAGCAAATTGACATTCAGAGTGCATTTTTTATACCCTGACAAAGGTAGACCATATCAGAGAAAAATGGAGATCTATCACCACAGCACTGGATTTCGATCAGTAGATGTATATAAGAAATGAATATATATATTTCTCTCATTTCCACCTGTGTCAGATAGGCCTGTCCAGGGCAATAAACATGGTCATGATAGACGTTTATTACACAGGCGCCTGTGTAATAAAGCCTCGCGCGCGGAGTAATTCATAGTTTTTTCCCGCGCACTCATCGACTATGTCCTCGTCATCCGCTTCATCCACAAACACGCATAGTCGATTGGAGTCATTGTTTGCAGGCTCGTATTAACAAAACTGTTTTATAAATATCAACATCACCAACCCTGGGACTCGGCCTTTCCGCCGTCGTCCACGTGTGATTGAAAGTGACAATGACTAACTTTCCTCCTGTCGGTGTGGCGCGAAATGTGTGACGTAAGTGACGTCATCTCACAAGCAAACCAAGAATTCCATTCATAAATGTGTAAGATTTGTAAGATTACTATTGACAGTGAAGTAGTATTAATAACTTGACCAACATGTTCAAAGATGTAAAAAGTGTTTATGATATATTATACATTGAGCAATAGTAAATATTAAAAAGAAAAGTGTTGTTTTATTGCGTGTTTTAAGGCACTATATTTGAACGCGTACGCATGTCTCTGGGTGATGTATTTGACAGGGTATTTGACCCAGCCCGCTTGAAGAAAAAACAGTTAAACACTGACGTTGGATGTTTACATTCAAAGTCCATATTATGTTTTCGACCGCAAACATAGTTTGCAAAATTCGGGGATGGAGAATCTATTTCAGCATATTTTTTATGTATATGGCCCAAGGAAAAAAATAGAAATCTGAAAAATGGCGGCGTCCAGTGATGGCTACCGCGAGGTGAGTGCAAATATTTGATAATATGAGATTAGAAATGAGAGAAAAAAACTCTTTTCTATATGGGTATGTAGGATAGGGATATTCCACCCGAGGGGTCACAAAATGTGGTAAAACATGTTTGACAAGGATATTAATTACTTGTACATATGTAAGAGTTGACATCAATCATGAATATACTACTTGTACTATTTTATCGTATTATGTGAACTTGGAAAGAAAAATAATAATAAAAAAAACTTTTAACAATAAAGTGTTCATAACCACTGATGTCTCGCGTTTTAAATCTCTCTCTCTCTCTCTCTCTTAATATGCGTGCTACATTTATTTTCTATTCAAATATGAAATAACAAGTTACAGATATTTCCTTCCAATACAAAACATTCAGTCAAAATTCTTGAAAAAGTTTACAATGTATTCCTGGTACTAAAATGTGAAATATTGTAATTTGGCATCAAATAAATTTACGTAGACATTTTGTACAAAATAAAGATTGTAATTAAGCATCATCTAAATTTACGTAAACATTTTGTACAAAATAATGATTGTAATTTGGCATCATCTAAATTTACGTAGACATTTTGTAGTTAATAAGGTTTTTTCAAATATGTGATATGAAATGAAACATTTTTGTTTCTCACTGATGAATACAGGAGTAAACAAAATCTATTGTTTAGAAGAATAGTTGATCTATACGGTATATCTGAATACAACGTGATAATACAAACATGTAACTGCACGCTCTAATCATTATTTTTGCACGGTTACGTAACACATCGTTTTTGTTGTGTAGGATAATTTGTGTAAAGAGTGTGAATATTAAAACGAGTGTATTTTGAATGTTGTATAAAATGTAACAGTTGTATACTAAATCTGACTTGGCATAGTTAATTTGTTCTGCTAGGTACTCTGTTTGCCGTACAGATATGTAATTACATGTACAGTCCTCCATTGTACGGCATTGACAACATCAGATTAGTGACAAAATAACTGAAGCTGAGGGTTATGGTTGGAAAATGAAAACAATTCAAACGTTCTATCAAGAATAATCACATTGACAAACGTTATTGAATAAATACAGTTTGTAAATATTTTTCTGCAAAATGAGAGATAAGTGCCATTATCAAAAATCAAAATTTCAATAAGGTTGTCAATTGTTGAAATTTATTGTGCAACGCCTTTTCAAAATTTAGCATGCTTTAATATCTTTGAAAGCATATAGTATATATCAAGCGTAAGAATATTGACAATAGGTAAAATCAATATTGTATTATATACTAACTAGATATATAACCTGATGTGAAAAACTGCGACATGTATCTTAAATTAATACATTTAGAAAATTTATTGCTAGAGAACAGAATTTTAAGACTTTAAGAGTTAAAAAAGAAACCAAATTGCAAGAATAAAGATAAATCAAATAAACAAATAAAAAATAAATTAAAAATATAAGATATCTATTAGATAAATAAAAATCAGGTAAATAACTGCAGGTCATAATTTTAACTGGCACAAGTCAAAATCGAACAGATAAAGAAAAAAACTCGAACTTGACTGAAAACATTGAATAAATAACACAAGGACAACACTGAAACCGTGTCCCTACCGACGGTCTCTACTGACATTAGAAATATGATTAAAACCAAAATCAAAATCACTTTACAGTACACACTCGTAAACAGGTGTAAATAAAAGTCGATCATTTCCTTGTTGAATACGTTTATACAATCGTTTCATAAACACATTTTTCTCTGCAGTAAACTTCCCTTGATTTGCAGTGTTTCCATTTGGCCAGAGCAAAGGACGAATTATATCCCAGTTTTCCGCACGAGCTTTGGAAATTCACTCTTTTTAATATCATTTAACAAAATAATCACATTCATGTTTTCCCGACCTTCCCGAAATGAATAAAAACTAGCCAATTTTAACGTAAATGTTGTCCATTCTTTTTCAAGGAAAGCATAGCTGATCACAAAAACAGTTTGATAAGAGCTGTCTATAGCATCCATTATATTATCTGCTATGTCGCGGCCAGGTTGAAAACTTTTTTCGTCGATACAATATTGAATTCCGTTCTCATGTAACCATGGTACAAGTGTTTTTGCAGTCCAGCGAGTATCTTCTTTACAATATGAAATGTACACATCATTCAGATATATTTGCTGTACTAATGGATGCCGGCACTTTACTCGTAATAGTACGCTTCGTCTCCATACCTCTCTAGTCAGAACTCCCAACACAAAGAAAAGCAATGTTAGACAAATTGAAATGACAAGCCAAAATTGAGAGACGCAACTGTCTTTGAATTCATCAACCGATTCTAGGAATTTACCAATTTTCATTTGAGTACCTTCTGATGTCAAGCAGCTTAGTTCATTCTTGTCAGGCACGCACTGCGTAGTTTGTAACCAGGAAATAAAATCCAAATGACTACAACTGCACAATAAAGGATTTCCTGTTAATATGATTTTGAAATTTTCTGATTTGGATTTTAATTCATCAAGAAGAGAATATTCTCGACTTTTGAATATCGATATCAGATTACTGCTTAAATCAATAGTTTCTAAGTGAGTAAAATATTTCAATAGGTGATAGGGGAGGCTATCCAAACGATTCCCTGAAAGAATCAAAGTCTTAAGAGATTTCTTCTGATCTGAAAACACACGAATATCTAAACTATCAAGATCATTTGACGATACATCAATGAAGGAAAGATTATCTAGTCCTTTCAATAATGAAATTCTGTTCGATTTGAATATAGGCTGGAGATTACATTGACGTGCAGTTAATTTTGCTAGATTTCGAATATCAGCGAACATATTCGGATTTGGTTGTGAACAATCGATACCAGACATATCGAACTCCTTCAAATGTGTCATACCTTTTATAGCTCCATGGGAGCATGATGGTTTTCCTCTTGAGTAACTTATATCCAAAACTTGAATATTATTACCTTTAACAATTGTGAAGTTATCGATTGGTCCAGACATGCTACTATGTGACATGTTGAAATAAATTAGATGTTTTGGCAAAAAGACAAACTCTGTTGAGCCTTTAAAAAGACCACGTTTAAAACGAAAAGAATTATCATTTAAGTATGAGCAATAAAAACGAATAATTGACGGGAAAAGTGGCAGAAGATATAAGAATTGTTTTGAATAAAATTTATTCATTGAGACATCTAACACTTCAATGCATGTCCTGGTATGCCAAACAGTTAAAGCCTGTAAACGAATATTTCCGATGCCGTTATCCCTTAGGTATACGTATTTGACACATATAGATCCAAGATATAAAAAATCCTCTTTTACCAGATTTTCACTTCTAAGAAATTGTTGTCGGGATCCATCAATCGTTAAAGAATCCATTCTTCTTCCTCTCAACCCATAAAGACCTTTCAAAATGTAACTGATTGGAACGGAGTAACGGATCGCAAAAAAAAACTTAACGTTGTAAGTTTGATAAAAGGGAAAAGAAAGTTCTCTTCTACTTTTCTTATCCTTCCTAGGATTTTCAAATTTGTTATATTCGATCGTTGAAAACCACTAAATGATGAATTCAGAAATAAAACGCTTCCTCTTCCAAAGAGTTTTAAATTTTGAAGCTGTGTTAAATTCAAAAACCCATTTCCGAAATTAAATCCTTCAAAAATGTCGATGGAAAGATTTTCCAGATTATAAAGAGTTGATATTGTGTATTCAGGATATACTTTCTTCAAATGAAAGTTGTTTTGGTGAATTTTTAATGTGTTTAGTGTTTTTAATGAGTCAAAAACGGTCGGATTAATTGAGAGGTGGTCGAGGTTGTTTCCTGAAAGATCAAGGTATTCTATTCTCCATAGGTTGTCAAATACTCCGGCTGAAATATTCACTATTCCGTTGAACTGAAGATTCAATGTCTGTAATTGAGGTAGATGTAGAAATGAATCCCGGTGTAAGCTTGTAAGACTGTTGTTCTGCAAATTCAACACGGTTGTGTTAATTGGCAAATCACGGGGCACAGCCTGTAGAAGACATCCTGAACACGTGACATGATTGACTGCAGGTATCCCGGTTACATTGCAGCAGTTGGAGACAGCCTCTAGAAAAAAGACACAGAAATATATTTAGTATACAATATAAAACATAACATCATCAATAGAAATCTGACTTTGATGATAAGTTTCTACAAAATAAAAGAAATGCATTTCAGTGGAGCAAAATTCACTGTTGTACTTCTTCTGTAAGCGACATGACAATGAATGAGTTTTCAACATGAAGGTGTTTGCAGAAAAAACTGTATGTGAAATACAGTCGAACTTCGTTATCTTGATTTCGAGGGGCCGTTTGAAAACTTCGAGTTATCCAATAAGTAACTTCGATTGTTTGGTATTCCGACAGGGACAAAATACTTCGAATTATACGTCTTCAAGTTATAGGAGTGCGGTATCGATTTGGTATCCTACTAAAATGAACTTATATTTGTTTCTAACACTACATAACAAATCACAAACGGTATCTAGCTTCAGACATATAAACTTGATGATGTTGCTTGTACTTCGCGTCATGTTTTATTTCACCAAATACGATATCATTTAAAAAAACATCTCTTGAAAAACTAACCTTAAGATGCATGATTTCATATTAAAGTAAACAAGAATCTCCATTTACCTGAATGTTGTGATGTCCATAAAACATAAGAAATTAACAGGAACATGGTATTGTCCATCTTGTCGACCGACTTGTCATTCAGGAAGTAACAATCCGAGCTAGGAAAACCGAATATAATGTTTGTCATCCTACCTTGAGATATGATTTCAAATACTGTATTTTTCCCCAGCTAAGTGGCGATTTTATGTGGTGAATACCTATAGAATTAACATAACCGCTGAAAAGTCACGTGATAGTGATGTTGACATGTGCGACTCGTTCTAAAAACAGGAAAACAATTTTTAAATGAACATACATTAAAAGTTTTTATTATTATTTGATAAAGACTTGGACGTTGTTAATTAAGTGGCTAAAATACAAAGAAAATACCTGTGTGAAAACATGATTTGAATCAAATCACAAAATCGCTAAACTGGAGAATAACATGACCACAACAAACGTTAACAGAGTATTGCTTGAAAAATGGATCGGGAGTGATGTTAAACCAGGAAGTATTGTTGTTAGTTAATGACAGCAGAATATTTTTGTGATGTTTTTTGGTGAAATATAAGCCATGCTTTAACAAAAATAAAACTCAATCATGTTACCAAATTTTGTTACATGACACTCTAAAACAGCTTATGGCCACCACAAAAAGTCGTGATATAAACATCTGCTCTGTTGTTGTATGTACGTGATTCAGCGTTTTTATTCTAACACAAATTATCAAGCAAACTCTCATGAACCCTAAGCTAAAAAATATCAAAATATCAACACAATCAAACCAATTGTATGTGTTTGTGTGTGTGTATTATACTGAAAGTATGTATGCATGTAAGTATGTATGTATAAATAAATTTTATTAACATATAGTGGGATTTGGTATTTTTAGATTTTGAGACGACCCCTCTACAATAAAAAAGAACGTTGAATTCCTCTCATGTAAAACGAGCCGGCCTTGAGTATTGGTAGAGAAGCTAGCCGGATAAAAACTGGTGCGCATCATGGACCATACATTCACAGAATCGGCAGGTCTTTTCCTTACAGACAACAAAGTACTAATTTCTTCAGTTGTTGGAACAGGTAAGCTTGTGTTTCTATTAATGTGAAAATGACCACCGAAGCTGTCCAGAACAATGTACATAATATTGTTCATATTTCACCAGGTGACGTAATAAGACTGCGTCGGCTTTTTAAGATAACTGAGAATTTCAAGACGTCCTATTATATCGAATAATCCAATTTCATTAAATTGTTTTAAGATAAGTTAAAGTTAAGAAGATCATTTACATTAATAATTAACGTCATTAAATCATTTATTTTCATCTCGCTAATTAATCACTTTACAGTTTCGGGACACTGAGAATGGGAACTCGTTATAGGCCTATATATTGACCCTATTTTGACCTAGGTGTTCACTCAATAGCCTTCGGAACCCCTCTGGAGTCTCGATGAATCCAACTTATTCGATGTTGTTGGCAGTATGACAATAGAACGATGTCGTTAATTAAGGGAGAAAGTTCGAACTGGTTCGAAAACTTCTCTCGAACCTTACACCAAAACCTAAAACATTTTATTTTCAATAAATTCGCTCTCGTTTTAAGCCTTGAAGCCGCTGGCTGCTTTTAACGCAAAATGGTATAATAGTTACGAAGGACCATAAAACAGAAACGGGAATTTTCACCAGATCTCTATGATATTGAGTATCTATGATACCGTATTGTACAAATTTTACTCCCTTTGTTCTCAGTTATCGGATTTCTTTTGATGCGGGTTTTCGTGGCCGGTGGTGTGTGCGTCTCCAAGAAACGTCTGGATGGCAAGACTGTCATCATTACCGGATGTAACACTGGCATCGGTCTGGAGACGGCCAAGGAATTGTCTGCTAGAGGTGAGATCTTTATACTAACTCAGCCACACAGGAATTGTCTGCTAGAGGTAAGATCTTTATACATACTCAGCCACACAGGAATTGTCTGCTAGAGGTAAGATCTTTATACATACTCAGCCACACAGGAATTGTCTGCTAGAGGTGAGATCTTTATACATACTCAGCCACACAGGAATTGTCTGCTAGAGGTAAGATCTTTATACATACTCGGCCACACAGGGATTGTCTGCTAGAGGTAAGATCTTTATACATACTCAGCCACACAGGGATTGTCTGCTAGAGGTAAGATCTTTATACATACTCGGCCACACAGGGATTGTCTGCTAGAGGTAAGATCTTTATACATACTCAGCCACACAGGGATTGTCTGCTAGAGGTAAGATCTTTATACATACTCGGCCACACAGGGATTGTCTGCTAGAGGTAAGATCTTTATACATACTCAGCCACACAGGGATTGTCTGCTAGAGGTAAGATCTTTATACATACTCGGCCACACAGGGATTGTCTGCTAGAGTTAAGATCTTTATACATACTCAGCCACACAGGGATTGTCTGATAGAGGTAAGATCTTTATTAGTACTCAGCCACACAGGGATTGTCTGCTAGAGGTAAGATCTTTATACATACACAGCCACACAGGGATTGTCTGCTAGAGGTAAGATCTTTATACATACACAGCCACACAGGGATTGTCTGCTAGAGGTAAAACTTGATACATACTCAGCCACACATGGATTGTCTGCTAGAGGTAAGATCTTTATATATACTCAGCCACACAGGGATTGTCTGCTAGAGGTAAGATCTTTATACATACACAGCCACACAGGGATTGTCTGCTAGAGGTAAGATCTTTATACATACTCGGCCACACAGGGATTGTCTGCTAGAGGTAAGATCTTTATATATACACAGCCACACAGGGATTGTCTGCTAGAGGTAAGATCTTTATATATACACAGCCACACAGGGATTGTCTGATAGAGGTAAGATCTATATACATACACAGCCACACAGGGATTGTTTGCTAGAAGTAAGCTCTTAAAGTAAGCTCCTCATCAATATATCTATTTACAACTAAGGGATAGTCAGCAGCAGGTGAGTTATCTATCACTATATGAAGTGGGAGATTGTTGTAAACTTTGGGTTATATTTATGCAAAAGATGTTTTTCGGTGGAGTTTAGGGAGTGTGGGTTGCATAATAATAATGATAATGATAAACTGAAGGAGAAAGAATGTACATGTATATACCTAACTTTGCAGTCTAACACTTGTAATGGATTCTGTATTATAACCCATCATGGGAAGTACGTCTGGAAGGAAAAGTCTTTACCAGTAAACTGATAACATGCTTGTTATTGTTTTTCAGTGCCAGTGTTAGATTCCCGCGGGAAACGTTAGGTCAACCATGATGTCTAAATACGTGTTACAATATACATTTTTTCTGACTGAAATCGTTCACATATAAAAGTTCTTGCATTTATCGGTTTATATTGTGACAAAAACTTCTTTTGATATTTTACCACAGGCCCATGTAACGGAAATAAAGCATTACATGTTTATATTACAGTATGACAACACACGTTTGTATAATACTGATCACTTATATTCCTAAATACCATACAAATCGGTCGGAAAACTTTAAGTAATATAAATAATTAATTTCAGGCGCCCGGGTGATCATGGCATGTCGTGATATAGGACGGGCCTCTAAAGCAGCAGATATCGTCAAAACGTTCTCAGGAAACAGTGACGTCAGTGTAGAGCGTCTGGACCTCGCCTCTTTAGACTCTGTGAGGAAATTTGCAGGTGTCATCTTAAAGAATGAGGAAAGAATTGATATCCTCATCAACAATGCTGGTAAGTTATCGTCAGCGATAAACTTACGATAAAGTAATGATCATGACGTCAGTATCTGTGTAAATGTCATTATCTGATTGAGTAGTGACTATGACGTCAGTATAATTGTCACGTCATGATTAAAAGATTGATTATAATCGATGTTAACTGTCCAGTGATTAAAATGCTATCTCATATTGGAAGACTAAATGCGAAATTTTCATATCTGCTTTTTCAACGTCAGCGAAAGATATATACACAAATTGAAATGAGAACAAATCGATAATTTCATTAGATATGTGTGTATATAGATATATAGTTCGATTTCTCAGCATTTCTGCTCAGGAATAAATGACTGCAGCTTTGAATGAATCGAATGCAGGTTAAAGATTAGGTAAATGACTTGCATCACCAGTATAGACAACCCAGAAAATTAATTTATTTATTTGTAATTTGATCCTGGTATATGTATCTGTATATATACTACACTAAAATATTGTTAGATCTCAATCAAAATCCAGCTGAGTTTAAGACCTGGAGTATTTGTAAAATGATTTGGTATTTTTGTGTGGTAGCCGAGATCTTTCTGCAATTAATTAACAAACATCTAAGTGAATTTAATCAGTTTTTTTTTTCAAAAGAGTACAAATAGTCCTAGGACAATTGTGTGTGAATTAGTGAAATGTGGAAGAATTGTATAGAGAAGAGAATAAGTTTCGTTTTTGTGTTTGCTTGTTCTGTAGGTGTCATGATGTGTCCAAAATGGAATTCCGAGGATGGATACGAGATGCAATTCGCGACAAACCACCTTGGCCATTTCTTGTTGACAAATCTATTATTAGACCGCATTAAAAACTCTGCTCCCTCAAGAATAATCAACGTTTCTTCAAGTGCACACTATCGTAATTTCATTTTATTACTTCTTGTTTTCTTTGTATTTTTATTTTGAATATTGTCAATATTTTGTATAATTAATTTTTTCAGTATCAGATCTGCTGGAAACGATTTTTTTTTATTAAATTGTCTGTTTCAGAAAACAAAAATTAGAATCAAAGATTGGTTCGTCCCTTACAACACTCGGTTTTTTCTGCTCTTCTTTGTCACATTGTTACATTATCAATATGCTTAAAGTAGAGATTCTTTGTAGAAACTATTTATTTTGTAGAAGGAACAATCGACTTCGATGACATCAATCATGATAAGAACTACTCCTCTTTCTTTGTGTATGCTCAGAGTAAACTGGCCAATGTCCTCTTCACGAAGGAACTCGCCAGACGTCTACAAGGTGACCACTATTTTACACCACACCATATCTACAATTCAGTAATTATTCAAGCCAACCAGCATCTACTTATCGGCACAACGACTGAGAATTTATTTCTGTATCTTCATTATGTTTTTTTTTTTTTCAGACGGAATTACTTAGTTATCCAGATTCATATTATTAGTTTTATTTGTCACCGTGGTATTTAAATATTTTAACGACTTTCTACCGACCTCATTGTAATTCTTTAAAAGCTATTCGGTAGGACGTTAGTCGAAGCACCAGTTACATAAGGATTACTATCGATGAAACATACACTATAAGTAAGTATTATGTAATTAATCTTGTTTAAATAACATCGATGCACCATCCTTGATACACCAAGGGTTACACTCGGTATCTCACTCTGTAACTCTAGAACAGGTCATGGCAAAATTGAAGATACAAGTAATTTGCTTGGTTCCAGGAGAAAAAAAAGACCAATTACAGGCTGATAGGCTCCTTTTGTTTGATGTTCATTAAAGGATCAAACTTGTCTGTTTGTCCTGTCCACAAGGTGTCGCCATTTTTGCCGTGACATGTTCCAGGGGTGCTGAGAGCGAAAGCGATTGTAACCCCTGGGGTATTGAGGATGGTTCCAGGGATGCTGAGAGCGAAAGCGATTGTAACCCCTGGCATATTGAGGATGGTTCCAGGGATGTTGAGAGCGAAAGCGATGGGATGCCGAGAGCGAAAGCGATTGTAACCCCTGGGGTATTGAGGATGGTTCCAGGGGTGCTGAGAGCGAAAGCGATTGTAACCCCTGGGATATTGAGGATGGTTCCAGGGGTGCTGAGAGCGAAAGCGATTGTAACCCCTGGGGTATTGAGGATGGTTCCAGGGATGCTGAGAGCGAAAGCGATTGTAACCCCTGGGGTATTGAGGATGGTTCCAGGGGTGCTGAGAGCGAAAGCGATTGTAACCCCTGGGCTATTGAGGATATTAATGCACGTACAAAGGATACGTACACATTCTTATAATTCCATTAGATAATCACAGATTTTCATAAAACATCCAAAATATAAACAGTATACACATCGTTAGAACGAGATGAATTTATCTGCCGTATTATACCGGAAGCAATAGATGGCGCCACATGGGCGTCATTTGATGATGCCATTATAAGAATGTGCCGTTTCAAAAGCCAATAATTAAATTAATGTTTTGTATTCACAATATATAAAAACATATACGAGATAAGATAAATTATTCTATCGGAAGACTTCTTGTACACACATTGTTGTAGGTAAATCTCACCCATAGACAATGTGCAACGCAAGTGTTTCATGTGCAGAGCAATTCAAACATTGAACTGAAATAGTTTAGGTGTAAAAATACGATAATGAGATTAGATAAGTGATATTATCGTTTAGAATTTTAATGTATACAAAAAATAACATGTTATTTACATACTTCTCTGTGCAGATACTGGAGTAACGACAAATTCGCTTCACCCAGGAGTGATTAACACAGAGTTGTCGAGACACATTCAGGCCTGGATGACGCCCCTATTGTTTAGACTTCTCCAGCCGTTAACAGGTTTCATGAAGACACCATTACAGGGTGCCCAAACCACTCTTCACTGCGCTCTGGATGAACGACTGGACAATGTTTCCGGCAATTACTTCAGGTAATTAGGAATAAAACTGTAACGACTTCTGGCAAAACAGATATCTAAGGAATGAGAATAAAGAAAAACTGAAAACTGACTTTAGCGAATACATTGAAATCTCAGTATCTGACAAGGAGTTGATAAAATCAAACCAGTCTCAATAAAAGTTTAAAACTTTAGATCTCTCCATACTTTTACAAATAAAACTGAAATACTTAATACAAGAGAATTGTTTATCCGTATTCAAAGTGTAATTTAGCTTGGTGAAGATTTGGTTTAATTATCTATTTAATTGATTTTTTTCGTCAGTGACTGTACAGAAAAGAAGCCCTCAAAAGCAGCATTGAACATGGAGGCCGCAAAACGACTGTGGCAGGTCTCCGAGGAAATGGTGGCTAAAGCTCGGAAATAGTTCAATCAAACAAATTCTTATAGTTATACTGTTTACTGTCATGATGACTAATGACATTTTCTGTAAAGACACTTTAAATTAACACAACTTTGGATAACAGCCATTTTCATGTTAACCTCGTATTATGTAATATGTCTGTATCTACGTGGTGAGTGAGTAACCACCAACCTGTAATGTCAAACCCGGGGTCTCGGTACATCGACTGTAGAAATGAATTCCCTTTTACTCTTGTGTTTTACTGAATTCTGACGCTATCAGTCCATGACTAGTCCCTTTTACTCTTGTGTTTTACTGAATTCTGACGCTATCAGTCCATGACTAGTCCCTTTTACTCTTGTGTTTTACTGAATTCTGACGCTATCGGTCCATGACTGGAACTACTAAGTAAGAAAGGAGTTCGTGCTGGAAACTTTACATAAGAACTTCAATGGCTTAAGAAAATAATGTTGATAGTAATCCTTCAAACAATTTAAATGCTTAAATATCATATTATTTTTATTATTATTATTATATTAAAGTAAGAATTTGGTTATTTAGAAATCATACGGTATTCGGTGTTCCGCCGCATTATTAAATCTTTCATTCTTTATTTACACGGCGTCTAGGTTTTTTTCAGATAAGAAAAGGGAAGAAAGTGAGTAGAATGGATAAAGCTATCAGTGATAGTAGACAGTGAGTGGATGGGAATGTTATAGAGATGGAGTCGACTTCTCCGGTGTTCCTATAACCTAAAACGACATTTAAGGAGTCGACTCCGTGGCCAAACATCGTCTGACCTCTGACCGCAGACTTCGTTACGATTAGGAACTATCCAAAACGTCTTATGACTGTGGTTCTATGGTTTCTACGTATTGAAATATTAGCTGATTAATACGCCACCTTCCTCTGTAGCAGAATCTGGGGACATATCGAGGTGGTCTTTTGTCATTTCTTACATAATCTTTCTGTCATTTCATCGATAGTGTTTTTCTATATCATTGCGTTTGTCTCGATCTTGTCTCCCTAAATGAATCTCGGTCCCCCGAAATCCTATAGGCTACCTTCTCCCTGTGACCTTTATTGTTACCAGAAGGTCAAATAATTGAACAAAGTAAGAGAAAAAAAATGTTGGATATCTAGATAAGATCAAAAACTGAAATTTGATTTCGGAGTAGAATAATCTCATTTATGATCAAAAGGTTTTGATTGTTAGATACGGTTTGATGAAATTATACAGAAAATAGCTTCTAAAATCTAACGAGATATCTCGTATACATAACTTTACATAATGTCTTTATACAACCTTATTTTCTTTTCTTTGTTTTATGTAGAATACAATAAATCTTTTGTATTGTACATGGGTACATGTACACGGAGGGGATCAGTGCCTTTAGTAGAAAAACTTTTGTATAAATATGTTTTTAGTGAATGAAACGTAAACATTATTGTTTTATAAATATTGTGTATTTTTAGTTTGTATAATCCTGGCGTGACAATCCACACGAAATGAAATACTCTATTCACTTTATGTTTTGGATTTACATGTATTTTACACTGTTTTATACATTTTCTATACAATGTATTATAATTGTGTAATGATTGAATATATTTGTGTGAAAGGTGTGCCACTTGGGACATGAACAATGTTATTTTCTACATTTGTTATCTCGAGCGCTCGAGATAGTAAGAACAGTGCTTGAGATAAGAAGTCGAGTACTCGATGTAATAAGACGAACATTCGATATAATGAGTCGAGCGCTCGAGATTAAAAAAAAGTAGAACATAATGGACAAAATGCTTCATCTTCTGTCAGGATAAAAGGATTCTTACCAAATTTGGTCTGGAGCATTATTTGGTGAAAGTATTCAATTTTGTGTAAAACAAGAACTAGTTCCCATGTGGGAAGAGATGTTTTCCAATGGGGAAAATATGGGTAAACCTGTAAAATCCATCTCCTTTAATTAGGCTAAAGAAATTGTGATCAAACAACGTAAGAAATACAGGTATTTTGTTGTTTTTTTATATCAAAGGAATGAATAATATCCCACGACTCCTCGCACAATAACATAGGTTACCATGTGTATACGGTGTTTATAACATTTTCAAATTGATGTTTGTTATTTATAGTAACAAATACAGACTATGTCTAAATTCTTAAGAAAATATCTTTGTCGTCTTTCTGATTTGACTGAGAAATTGTGAACTGTAATGTATATGTTATTCAGATGACTTATATAACCAAATTGCAGAAACACAAGTGTAAAGTATAGATTAAATGTAAAGGCCGACAACAATCACAAACTGTAATATATCACTGCCAGAATTTGATTTTGATTATAAAAACCAGGAAGTCAAACCATAAAACCTGAAATCTCTTCTAATCTGCTGCCTGCTGCGTGCATTCAACAACCGAAGTATGCCTACAGTAATCAATATAGTGGTGCCCCCCCCCCCCCCCCCTTGTATTTTTCTGACGTTCCTATTCGACCTGTCGTCGATGAACCAAATGAATATATACTACGAAACCTCAATATTAAGACGACCACCATGGAGGAGACCGAACAAAACCTGTCTTGATGGCGGGTGGCAGGGTGGTCTGACTTCCTTTATGGTACTTTTTCAGTCATTAAATGAGTATATAGGTTTTGTAACATAAAACAGGAAGTTTATATAGTCAGTTTGGTACCTACATGTAATTAACTATTCTGATACTTGTCAGATGTACACGGTAACAAACACATCAGGTCCTTCAGGGAGTTCTGTGATTGGTCACTGTGATGGTCTGATAGGTGAAGTGAACTTCATTTCAAAACTGGCTTATAGGAGTTTTAAAACTTGATTATGAAAGGCGGTCTTATATATAACAGCGGTGGTCTTATTAAGGAAATTATGTTTATAACAAAGTAAACAAGACTAAGACATGTATACAGGATTTTTAAAAACTGAAATAACGTAATCGTCCACTTTTTTCTATCACCCCATAATGTGAAACACAATCGCGACGTCATTTTGTAACGTCACGCTTGGTTGGCAAAAAATGCTGCAAACTGTGATTAAATTATCAGGTTTATGTACATTGTTTTCCTTTTTCTTTACGCTATGGCTCAAAACCTTTTATAGAGTAGTCTAGTGATGGGTTGAGATGGTCTTTTCGGACTATGTATAGAAATACGATAATTTTATCACATAACTACATATATAAATGTAAGTGTGATAACAGCAATTACAGGTAAATACGTACAATATGTTAAAGCGAGACTGTGATTGGCTTTCCAAAGTTATAACATTGTTTACATTGTGACATTGTGCATGTAACTTCATGACGTCATATAAAATGTACATTGTGACGTCATCTAAGAAATCGATATAAATTGAGACTATTGTCTATTTAGATTTAGTGTCTATCAAACAAAAGACTTTTTCACAGATTTTTCCAAAATTATCAAAATCAAATGATGAACAGAATCTTCCACGTGTTTCAATTGCGTTTAAGATTAAAAAAAAACTCGGAACAAATTATCCATTTTGCCTCGTCTTCATAAAATAGAAATTCTCGGGCTTGTTTGAATAAATCTTTTATGAAATGGAAACTAAGGTCTTCTACGTGTGTCTATATCTATATACATAGCTATGTATAGGACCATGTGACAAGTATGATAGAACTACATCTTGTAGGGTCATAATTTCGACCGGTTACCTGTTATAGGAAATCAAATTTTGACCAGTAGATGTTGATCCGGTCGTAAACAGTTTTAGTTTCTTTTTATACTCAAAGGGAAAATTATCAGTACAGTCAAAGGATATGATATCACTCACAACCTAGATCGTAAAATTACAATTTATTGCACGATTCATGCATTCCACGATAATTTGGATTTTGAGACGACCCCTTTAGATTGACAGGAAGTCGACGTTGTTATGTATAAAACGAGTCGGAAATTGTAGACAGAGTCGCCGGATTGAACGATCTTAGATGGACTCGCCAGCTATAGAAGCGGCAATGGCTTTTATTGCTAAAAACAAAGTGATAATTTCTTCAGTAGTCGGGTCAGGTAAGTGAAGTGAGTGTTTCTTTCAAACAGTCACGATTTGATCACACTTAACTCACAACAGCCTAATTAGTACACGTGTACATGGATTCGGACGCCTGTCAGCTAAGAAGGTCTACCTGTCCAAGTGTTTTTGTCTCATCGCACATTTTCAACATAATCTTTGATTATGTTTTTATCTCTCTGTGAATGATCATAATATGTGATGATTCTGCAAAACTACTGTGCAACGAAACTCATACCATTTAGCCGAAATAGGGATCACCTTGACATAAACTTACCTTTTTAAGTAATTTATTATAACATTCGGAACTTCTTTAGAGTTTACAACGACTTGGACAATATCTTATAAGTTACAGAGATACTTCAGTATCGTCAACCTCTAATCACCCAAACTTTGGTTATAGCTCTGTAAAATCAAGCGTGACAGAATGTTTTAAACGTCGTTAAAGAAACAGACACTTTATAATCAATTTTATAGTTGTCAGCGCTGTACTTTGCTGTAATTTTTACATATTTTGTTTTTATTTTTGAGTGCAATTGAAATTGAGGCCAAAAGTACCTGTGATTGGAAGATGTTCTGTGTTATGTTTAACCATTTGTTTCCTTTAATGCGTTCAAAAGTTGATTTTGAAAGTTTTAAATACAGTTCAATATAATGCAATGTCATGGTGATTGTATCATTTTCCGCAGTTTAAGGATGTTAGGATAGGATGGGTTGACCTAACGACGTGACTTGGTGACGTCTTGTTAGAAACAATTATATCTACATTTATGACTACCTTTATAAACATATAATTTTTCTAACACACACAATAAAATATCATATCATTTTCCACTCCCAAAAACAATGTGAAAATATTTATGAAGGTTTTAAAAGCAAATCTATGCATAAATAAAACTATGTCAATATGCATGATGAAATTTCACTTGGAATTGCATAAATGAATGGGTGGGGTGAAAATATGGGATGCAAATGGAATGATTTTAACAGAAATTATAATCCTACTTGAATTAGGACTATGTACTAGACTTAATGACTTGGATGCTGTAAATCAAAACATCTTTTTGAAGATCTCATTGGCCATGACGGAAAAGGAATACATCTATTTATCATGTGTTTATTTATTGATTTTATGAAGTAATAAAGTTTTATAACCACCAAAGCTGTGCACAAACCCGAGACAAAACGACAAAAAACTATATGAAATGAATTCTGGGTGCAATACAGAGGTTCCTTATGCACTGACGCGGTATGAGATCATCATCATGCAGATATGGTGATCAGTTGGTAAAGATTATTTGCTTGTTAAGATAAAGGTCAGACAAATATTTTGGTTGACAGACCCATGACATGGTAAATTCTATAAAATCAATGGTTTATTAGGAAGCCTATACTGTATAGAGCTATAGATAAACTACATATATTTTTTCTAAAATGTCGATTTCATGAAAATGAATCTGTGGTGCTGTTATGTATTAATATTGTTTGGCAGTTCAACTTCTGAAAATAAAGTAAATATACTATATGTTATTCAGATAGGCCTAATTAAAATAGAGCTGATGATTAAAATCAATCTGAATCAATCTGGAACCCTGCTACATGTACAAAGGACAAAAATACATAGTTACAGCAGAGACATATACGTCTCTGGTTACAGAAAAGTTTACTCAAGGCTAACAAAACCTGTAAATGTAATCCTACTTCATTGTTCTGTAATAATTACCACACTTTAATTCAGCTCAAGGTAAACATGTTGGCTGCATTGATTTTTTCAGAGTAAATATGGTTTCCATGTGACAGGACTAACCCATACAGCGGTCCTAGCTCTGTGTCTAGGTACTTGAAATTTTGGAAGAAATTTCACAATTTTGCATGGCATAGAAAAAAAATACATTCATGAAACAGCAATTCAATAAATAGTCTTACAAGATATAGCATTCCCTGAGTGGACTTTTTCCCTGTGTGAACTTTTTCCCTGAAACTTGTATCGAAACTGGTTGACGTTTTCACCTTACATATATACAATTGCTGAACTCGAGACAAACACAATTAAGCTACTTTTGAACCCAAGAATCTGGGTCACACCTTGGCATTCAACTGCTCAAGAATTACCTTATTGTTAAAATTGTTAAATTATTGAGATTTCTGCCATTTGTGTAAAATTGTGGATCCCAAGCAGCTGAAGTTGCTAAATGCTTATGATATAAGCATTCTTGGCCATTTTACTTTGGGAAAATGAAGTTCACTTTCACTTAGGGTTTTGGATTTGGAAGCAGAATATATATATATAATTTAAAAAGATAAAAACTTTGTGTATCGTATATTTGATTTTCTCTCTCTCGATATATATATATGTTAATGAAAAATGTAGGAAAAGGCCCCATGAGCCTTTTGTATACTCACTGAGAAAACTTTGATGAAAATCTATTTAGTGCCTTATATTGAACAATCCTAATGAAATATTTATTTATTTGTTATCATCGTTCTCAGTTCTCGGCTTTGTTATTCTGAGACGTCACTTGGCTGGTGGTGTATGCGTCTCCAAGAAACGTCTGGATGGAAAGACTGTCATCATTACCGGATGTAACACTGGTATCGGTCTGGAGACGGCCAAGGAATTGTCTGCTAGAGGTAAGATCTTTATACTAACTCAGCCACACAGGGATTGTCTGCTAGAGGTAAGATCTTTATACATACTCAGCCACACAGGAATTGTCTGCTAGAGGTAAGATCTTTATACTAACTCAGCCACACAGGGATTGTCTGCTAGAGGTAAGATCTTTATACATACTCAGCCACACAGGGATTGTCTGCTAGAGGTAAGATCTTTATACTAACTCAGCCACACAGGGATTGTCTGCTAGAGGTAAGATCTTTATACTAACTCAGCCACACAGGGATTGTCTGCTAGAGGTAAGATCTTTATACATACTCAGCCACACAGGGATTGTCTGCTAGAGGTGAGATCTTTATACATACACAGCCACACAGGGATTGTCTGCTAGAGGTGAGATCTTAATACATACTCAGCCACAGAGGGATTGTCTGCTAGAGGTAAGATCTTTATACTAACTCAGCCACACAGGGATTGTCTGCTAGAGGTAAGATCTTTATACATACTCAGCCACACAGGGATTGTCTGCTAGAGGTGAGATCTTTATACATACACAGCCACACAGGGATTGTCTGCTAGAGGTGAGATCTTAATACATACTCAGCCACAGAGGGATTGTGTGCTAGAGGTAAGATCTTTATACATACACAACCACACAGGGATTGTCTGCTAGAGGTGAGATCTTTATACATACTCAGCCACACAGGGATTGTCTGCTAGAGGTGAGATCTTTATACATACACAGCCACACAGGGATTGTCTGCTAGAGGTGAGATCTTTATACATACTCAGCCACACAGGGATTGTCTGCTAGAGGTGAGATCTTTATACATACACAGCCACACAGGGATTGTCTGCTAGAGGTGAGATCTTAATACATACTCAGCCACAGAGGGATTGTGTGCTAGAGGTAAGATCTTTATACATACACAGTCACACTGGAATTGACTGCTAGAAGTAAGCTTTTTAACAATATTCAACCAACCAACGACTGCTAGAGGTAAGATCTTTATACCTACACAGACACACAGGGATTTTCTGCTAGAGGTAAGATCTTTATACATACACAGTCACACAGGGATTGTCTGCTAGAGGTAAGCTCTTTATACATACTCAGCCACACAGGAATGGACTGCTAGAGGTAAGCTCTTTAACAATATTCAACCAAGGAATTGACTGCTAGAGGTAAGATCGTTATACATACACAGTCACACAGGAATTGACTGCTAGAGGTAAGCTCTTTAACAATATTCAACCAAGGAATTGACTGCTAGAGGTAAGATCTTTATACATACACAGTCACACAGGAATTGACTGCTAGAGGTAAGCTTTTTAACAATATTCAACCAAGGAATTGACTGCTAGAGGTAAGATCTTTATACATACACAGACACACAGGGATTGTCTGCTAGAGTTCAGATCTTTATACATACACAGACACACAGGGATTGTCTGCTAGAAGTAAGATCTTAATACATACTCAGCCACAGAGGGATTGTGTGCTAGAGGTAAGATCTTTATACATACTCAGCCATACAGGGATTGTCTGCTAGAGGTAAGATCTTTATACATACACAGACACACAGGGATTGTCTGCTAGAGGTAAGATCTTTATACATACACAGTCACACAGCGATTGTCTGCTAGAATTAAGCTCTTTATACATACACAGTCACACAGGAATTGACTGCTAGAGGAAAGCTTTTTAACAATATTCAACCAAGGAATTGACTGCTAGAGGTAAGATCTTTATACATACTCAGCCACACAGGAATTGACTGCTAGAGATAAGCTATTTATACATACACAGACACACAGGGATTGTCTGCTAGAGGTGAGATCTTTATACATATACAGTCACACAGGGATTGTCTGCTAGAGGTAAGCTCTTTATACATACACAGACACACAGGGATTGTCTGCTAGAGTTAAGATCTTTATACCTACACAGTCACACAGGGATTGTCTGCTAGAGGTAAGATCTTTATACATACTCTGCCACACAGGGATTGTCTGATAGAGGTAAGATCTATATACGTATTCAGCCACACAGGGATTGTCTGCTAGAGGTAAGATCTTTATACATACACAGACACACAGGGATTGTCTGCTAGAGGTAAGATCTTTATACATACACAAACACACAGGGATTGTCTGCTAGAGGTAAGATCTTTATACATACTCAGCCACACAGGGATTGTCTGCTAGAGGTAAGATCTTTATACATACACAAACACACAGGGATTGTCTGCTAGAGGTAAGATCTTTATACATACTCAGCCACACAGGGATTGTCTGCTAGAGGTAAGATCTTTATACATACTCAGACACACAGGGATTGTCTGCTAGAGGTAAGATCTTTATACATACTCTGCCACACAGGGATTGTCTGCTAGAGGTAAGATCTTTATACATACACAGACACACAGGGATTGTCTGCTAGAGGTAAGATCTTTATACATACTCAGCCACACAGGGATTGTCTGCTAGAGGTAAGATTTTTATACCTACATAGTCACACAGGGATTGTCTGATAGAGGTAAGATTTTCATTAATATTTAACTCAGGGACTGCCTCAGAGGGCTAAGAATTGTCTGCAAAATATCAACTTTCTCCCCTTTCCTTCAAAATTTTATCAGATATCATATATAGATTTGAACAGAGTGGCTGATATAAGGATTTATTTTTCAGGTGCCCGGGTGATCATGGCATGTCGTGATCTGGACAGGGCCACAAAAGCATGTGACATTGTTAAAAAGTTTTCAGGAAACACTGACATCAGTGTACAGCGCCTTGACCTTGCCTCTCTTGACTCTGTAAGGAAATTTGCAGAAAGAATGAACGAGAAGGAAGAGAGAATTGATATCCTTATCAACAATGCAGGTATGTGACATGGACAGTAAAGACAATGGTTTGCTTGTTAGGGGCACTGATGGCTTTCAAGGTCAAAAAGGTCATCAGTCTTAAGTCTGTCAGGAATTTCTGAGTCACCAAATTGTCCAAAAGACGTCATATCTAAAACGTAACCTGTTGCCAATTGAGCAGCTGTCGAATGTGTTTCAATAATAATTAGTTATGATGTTGACCAATTGTCACAGTCAGAGGGATCAAATATGTCAATCATCTGAATGACCAAAGAGGCTCTAAAGTCCAGGAGTTTCTTTAATGAAAGACTATTGTGTTCAGCTGAATGACATTAACAAATTTGAAGGTCAGAGGGTTAAAATGTGTTCAAATATTTCAAGAACATTTTCTGAATGACTTAAGTGTACAGAGCAATGACTTCTGTAGTCCCCATGTAACATGACTTATTAACAAGCGCAGTGAAATTTTACTTGTTGTTTTGTTTGTGTTATTTGGTAGGGAAATCCGACTAGTTTTGAACTATAAAAATATCGTAATTTCTGTTTAATCTGGGTACATTTTGCATGCTTTTATTTGGCAATTTTGTTAATTGGTTAAAATTCTGACATGGTTACCATGTTCATTATCAGTTGTTTATTATTGTTTTCCTTTAAATTTTTTTTTTGCAGAAATGACTTCATATCATGAACATGTAAATACAAAGACATCTTATTTCCCGTACAAATCTTTGAAATACTTTTCAATAAAAAACCTTTTTTTCAATGTTTACCATCTTTTGTGTACTTTTTCCCTAGGTGTGATGATGTGTCCGAAATGGAATTCCGAGGATGGGTACGAGATGCAGTTTGCAGTGAACCACCTCGGACATTTCTTGTTGACAAATCTATTATTAGACCGAATTAAGAAATCTTCTCCTTCAAGAATCGTCAATGTATCATCAACAGCACACTACAGTAATTTGAATTTAATTTAGTTTTTATTATTCTTGATGTATGTTTTTTAATTTTGAAATTTCAACCTCAAAGTCAATTTTGTTGTTTAAAAATAGAAAAGTTAAACTTTCAAATAAAAATCTAGTTTTAATAGATATTAGAGACTCAAATAAGGACCAAGCACAGACCTGCTTGTGATTGTTAACCAACTTTCATTCACAACTACTAATGTTTGTGATTCAGCATCACAAGTTGACCACTATTACTTTTTGTAAAACAGACTATGAAACTTAACTACACTCTTAGTTCATTTTCCACATCTTAATATTCGCTGTGATTGAGGTTCACAAATTTGTCTTGGTCTTTATTCATTTCGTGACAGTAAATCACACACAAGAACCTTGGTTTATAGTGATACTGATGTCTCAAGGGCTTGAAACTCACTCAATCTTTAAAAGCACCTTGTTCTATTTTTGACACTGGAGACAATTTTCATTGTTTTTATATCTTATTCTTGATTTTGAACTGTTTATATCAATTACGTTTTGTTAAAATATTCATTTTTTTGTTTTCAGGAGGGAAGATTAACTTTGATGATATCAACAGTGAAAAAGACTACTCTCCAATGGCTGCATATGCTCAGAGTAAACTAGCAAATGTACTTTTCACAAAGGAACTCAGTGAACGCCTACAAGGTGAAATAATCTAACACCTAACTGGAATAATGTGCATAAATCATACAAAAAACACTCAAAGAAAACCAGTTTCATACCAACCAACATCCAGAAAGGGATCACCCAAAAAACTGAATTTTAGATGCTTGAAAAAAGGGCAATAACTCTTCCAACAATTGTTGAAAATAAATGTTATTCAGGAGAACACAATTTCACGCCATAGTAATTAAACCTGCTACTGAGTATGATGGAAATCATTTGAAAACTGAGACAAAAGATCTCAGGAAAAATATTGATTATGATAAAAACAAGGGACAGAAACTCTTCCAAGAACAGTTGAATAAAAAATGTCACAATGAAAAACATAGAATTATGTTATAAATTATTGATAAACTGTGATCTTCACTATGATACAATAAAGAAAAAGTTAAGACTTGAATTTCAAATACTAAGTGAGATAAGGTAGATTAAAAAATGAAATTGGTATCAACAGAAATTTATAAAATATGATTGGAGAGAGATGAGAATAATGTTTTAAGGGAATGAGGCATAAAATTGGACAAGGAAATAAAACATCAAAATTACTCTTGAACCCACAGGTACAGGTGTGACAACAAACACTCTCCATCCTGGGGTGATCAACACAGAGCTGGTCAGACACATTGAGAACAGGATTTCACCTATGTTGTTCTTGCTTTTCCGCCCATTGTCAATCTTTCTGAAGACTCCAGTACAAGGCGCCCAGACAACTCTACACTGTGCTCTAGATGAACGACTAGACGATATCTCAGGAAAATATTTTAGGTATATATATATATCAGCTATGTAACAGATGGCCAGTATGTCATTTGAAAATGATGATTTAAGGTTCATAGGCTTTAGCTGAGATATTGTGATCAGATTAAAGAAATATTTCTAAATTTTTAAATGTACTTACGGAGAATTTGATTTTTGCTATGTATATATGTTATGATACATTACGAGTTTGTTTTTTTTTTCTTTAACAAGTGACTGTGAAGAGAAGCAACCTTCACAGGAAGCATTGAATATGGAGGACGCAAAACGACTGTGGCAGGTGTCGGAGGAAATGGTGGCCAATGCAGGCAAATAGGATAAATGAAGAATTAGGGCTATATTGTGATATTTTGCTTTGCCACAATCACTGATAGCACATTCTTTCAGGGCAACATAAAGTTTGTAAGGAAAAAATGTTCATGGTTTAGAGTACTGTAAATTCATAAGTTTTCGTGGAGGATTAGTTGATTGAATTTGTGGTAACACTAAATTTAAATTCATTTGTCCACAAAATAATAAAAAGATGAAAGTTGACATAGATTTTAGTATGAGTGGATTTCAAGTGCAAGATTTTACTACAAAATCAGGTAAAGTTTTGGAAAACTACAAAATTTGAGCCACACGAACATGTATGATTTAACAGTATAAAATATCACAGTCAGTGGTAAATGTTTGCTGTTTGTGATGTTTTCTCATCTTTCTAATGTTTGTTACAAGTTACAAATTAATATATATTTAAACACATAAAATCTACAAAGACATTACGTATCACTGGGAAAGAGGCTTTCATTTGTAACAGGGGGGTCACAATTACTCGGTTGATACAGCATTGACCTTTGCAACCCGGTCAAAGTGTGTGGTCAAATGCTCCCTACCCAGGGCGGTTCCTGTTTCTCCGGAATCTGAGATATGAACCGGTCTGTTATCATTATGACCTTGAACAAGATACTCTATCCCAATTGTTCGGGATTACATGCGACTGACCTCCAGTATGTTGTTCAGCAAGGCAGTTACAAGCTACTACTTGGAGATTCTGCCTCGATTTGGCCCCAGCTGTCATAAATATTTTGAGATACAAATTTATGGTCATATTTCACAGAAGAATAGATTTATTATTTTGCCATTCTGAAGTTTGATAAAGAGTCATACCTAGTGTTTATCTGTGTCTTAGATCAATTCTTTTCGCTGTTACCTTTTTTATTTATTGGTGTCCACTTACAATATTGCTGTTGTTCTTGTTTCGTTGAATCAGATATCATGCCCCTGTCTGTTCATATATGATATCCTTGATATTCAGCGAATGAAATACCAGCAGTAACATTATCTCAGAGAAGTTTTTTCATCATCACAATTTTGATTGGTATATTTATACATAGTACTGCTTAACAATGAGTATTCGTTCATGTCGGTCAAGCTGATTTGTGTTTGTACTTTTTCGATTAGAGTCACAGAAGATGCCACTTTTACAAGGTCACACTCTCTGCTCCTTTTACATGAGGTACCAAAAACACTTGATTTTAAACAGTACACAATATGTAGCTGACCTTTAGTAACTTCCTGCATGAAGTAAAGCTTATGAAGTGGCTGAAGTGTCCATGATATCAGACCTGTTATTTTATACAATCTGTCAACATTGTCAACAATAGGTCCATACCCTTCAGTATGAATTGTAGGTAGATTGCTCTTAAAAATTCTATATGGTACTCCACAATGGTTTTATATCAATTCTATATGGCAAATTGGTTTTATATAAATTTCATATGGTACTCCACAGTGGTTTTATATAAATTCTATATGGTACTCCACATTGGTTTTATATAAATTCTATATGGTACCCCACAGTGGTATTATATAAATTCTATATGGTACTCCACAATGGTTTTATATAAATTCTATATGGTACTCCACAGTGGTTTTATATAAATTCTATATGGTACTCCACAGTGGTTTTATATAAATAATCCACATTGGTTTTATATAAATTCTATGTCGTACTTTACATTGTTTTTATATAAATTCTATATGGTACTCCACATTGGTTTTATATAATTTCTATCTTGTACTCCACAGTGGTTTTATATAAATTCTATATGGTACTCCACAGTGGTTTTATATAAATTCTATATGGTACTCCACAGTGGTTTTATATAAATTCTATATGGTACTCCACAGTGGTTTAAATATACTCCACATTGGTTTTATATAAATTCTATGTCGTACTTTACATTGTTTTTATATAAATTCTATATGGTACTACACATTGGTTTTATATAAATTCAATCTTGTACTCCACAATGGTTTTATATAAATTCTATATGGTACTCCACATTGGTTTTATATAAATTCAATCTTGTACTCCACATTGGTTTTATATAAATTCAATCTTGTACTCCACAGTGGTTTTATATAAATCTTTCCCCACATTTTTATTACATTAAATATGAAATTTTAATCAATAAATAAGTTTATTTTGGTTTAAATTTGATTTTTGTCATGACAATGCTTTGTCATTACTGTATATTATTTGATATTATACTTTGTAATTTTACTTAAAATACTGATATGCATTTGGGTAAATTATGGTATACATGTTTTTCTATGAGTTTGATTTATCTAGTATAAATCATGTAATCTCTCTGCAGATATACTGAATTCTCTGTTGTACAGAATATAGAGGAAATTTAAAAGTTTCCCGTTTAATTTATATACTGTTTATTTGATATGAAAAAATATCTGTTACTGATTTTTTTCATGAGAGCGAAGCATAAGTGAAAAATGTAGGTCTAGATATTGAATTCTTATGACAGAATATTTAATGGGAAACTTTTCATTTTCATTTTATTTTATTTTTTTTTAATTTTCAACACAAAAAAAACTTTAAGGAAAAAGCTGAACCAAAGATAAAATGAACTGGTACTTAAAACCTGAGTGAAATATGAGCACATTATTTGGCATGTAGATAGTTTGATGTTACCCTTTACAACAAATTTCAATGCCATTTTCAATTGGCCTTTTTACATGGTATTTAATTGTTGTATACTTGTTGTCATTAAGAAAGGATCACTCACTGAAGTATGAAACTATTTAACACCTGATGTTATTTAATTTTTACTGCTTTTTGATCTGAGTAGAAATTGTGCATAATCTAACATACTGATGTTTACCTACTGTAACAGGGGATAGTGATGTTTACCTACTGTAGCAGGGGGTAGTGATGTTTACCTACTGCAGCAGGGGAAATTGATGAAAAGTGTATTTGTAGTTACTATTTTCTGTTTAACCTACACTAATTACGTATATATTTTCGCGATGGCTGCTGGTTTTGTTTGTCTGTGATATGACCCCTGTAAAAATATGCCAGTATCAGAACCAAGTTCAGTTGGATATTTTAAATGGTCATAAGTATTAGAAAGTAGACTACCTGATACAGTATTGTGTTTCAAACCCTGGATTGTACCTGTGCATCAAAAAAATTCATTCCAATTAGTATGACTAAAAGTAGCATGTTTTTAGCTACACATATTTTAACTGATCAGTATTTTCCTGTCTGATTTTTGGTTGCTATAAAATTGTGTTGGCCCGTGACAGAATATAGAAATATTGTCTTCTGCTGTTTGTTCTTTATATTATGTAATTTCTTTCATTTTTTGCTCGCCCTGTTTTCCAACAAGCTGCTCTGTAAGTGATAAACATAAAGTGTTGATCATCAAATAATAGATTAGAAGATATTACATTTATTAGCAATTTAGTAGCAGAAATGACATTTTTTGTCTCAAAAGATCAAAATCATACCCAATCAAAACTTTATTTATTTGTTTGCATGTATTTGTTACCCGTAATACAGTTCAGTGGTCACTGTAGAGTTGTGAAGAGAAAGTATTGATGTTAATTAACAGTCATGAATTTTACAAAAGTATATATATATATATATTGAGCACTATAGATGTATATGTTTGGCATGATTAAATCATATGATTTACTGGAAATATCTTATATCTTCCTGTGATATTTCCACCACGACAAAAGCTTGCAAGTTCATCGATACTAATAGGTATATGTATAAAGATCTGTACATATTGTTGATGACCTCCTTGATAGCAAGTACAGTATATTGCAATTGTTTTTGTCTCCCTTGAATTAAATCTTTTGGGTTTTTTTAAACTTTAATGTTATTTGTCATGATTTGACATGGAAATATAAGTTGAAATAGTGCACACACAGGTTCATTTAAACATCAGAATAAAAATGTGCTACCAAAAAGATCTTTAGGAGAGCACTTGTTTCTGTTGATCACCCAGCCATGCACAGCTACATTAAAGAGTAAGGGATATCGTTATATACATCTGTATATCTAAAGCTAATGTAAAGTTGGACTGAACTAAATAATGTTTATGATGAGACTCGGTGTGAATTCATTATAACCCAGATGAATTCATCAGGGAAAAGAGGCCCAGAGGGCCTGCACAGCTCACCAAAATATCTGGCAATCACAGAAACACATTAAGGTGTTCAAAGTGTCAAAAGTTCATGAATAGCGAAGGGCAGCATAGAAACCTTAATAACTGAAATTAAAATTGATAGTTGACAGATACAAGAGTACAGCATAGCCATATTGGTCTTTCAGACAGAATTTACGGCTGTTTGAACATGTTGATAGTTTCACTTCCCTCAAAATGGCTTGACAGGCAAATAATATAACAAACTATTAACTGGATATCATTCCAATTGAAATGGATAATGTTGGACGTTTCACTAGTTTTCTTTTTTTTTTAAACAAGTCTTTTCTGGTGCAATGGAGGATTGTAAACTTTCTCTACTCTGTGGTTCTCTGAACAAATCTGCCTGAAGAAACAGAAGTGATTTATTGTAAGTAAATGATTTCCGTGGACTATAAAACCAGGATTTTAGGTCTACCTCAGTTGTAGCATTTCTTAAGCATTACAAACCAGAATAGACACTGTTCCAGGTACAGATCGTAATTTTATTGCAGGTTTTTTTCTCTCCACAAAGATAAGATTTTGATATTAGAACTAAATATACTTTTATCTCATCACAAGTTCTAGAATATTTGTACCACAGCACTATATATCAGGCATACAGTCGTCTCTTTTGGTGTCAACTGCCAAAAATTCTGATTGAAGCACAAAACACTTATAGAAACCATAATGTAAGTGCAGTATTGATTGAAGTTTTGTTAAAAATTATAAATCAATGTTAATAGATAAAGGTTTAACAAAGGAAAACATAAACAAAAAATAAATAGATTTCATCCATCTGATAAATGCAGAAAAGCATGTGCCTGACGTCCTTACACATTGTAGCTTGATAACCTCAAATCTTTTATTTCTCTAAATCACACCAAGATCTGACAAAAACTACTTGACAAATCATTCTGATTGACTTAAATTCTCGGATACTGATGTTTTTTATGTGATCACCACACTTGTAAAAAGTCACCATAACCATGATGCAGTGTTAAATTGTGATATTTGAATGCATCAATTTTTGTCAAGAAATTAATTTGGAGTTGATACTCAAAATATGCATCCCTCAAAATTAATGTGTACATGTCTTTAATGGCTAGTCCAGAAAAGGTTAAAAAAAATTGTGTGTCACTGCTTGTTCTGTTGACTGATGTTGTGTTGATGATGCTCAACCTTCCACAAAATTACTTCAAAAGCAGCTGTTTTATTTTCTAGATAATGCAAGTTAAAAAACAAAAAAAAAAAAACAACAAAATTAACTGATTTATAGTAACTTTTTTTATCACTTTCAAAAATTTAAAACAATTTGTATGACGATTTGACGGTACAATATAAGACCTTTATCATAAGATCATAGGACTGAAGAACTCAGATCTCTAAAAAGATTTCCACCCTGCTTGAGAGAACATTTGAGAGGTTCATTAAGTATATAGAAAGTGATACTTAAGTAAGCTTGATGCAGTTAAAAACACCATGATCAAAAACAACATTAAATCATCTATCAGATGTCAGAATGCTCAAGGTTTGAAATTGAACATGTGAATTGTCTACAGGCCAGATTAGACCAGATGTCAGAGTGCCTAAGGTTTGAAATTGTAAAGTGAAATATCTATAAGGACTGCTGGACAGAAAAATCAAAACTGAAATTGCATGAATTTAGTTTTTAACGAGGGGTTTCATATTTACATACACAACTGGGAGATTTTAAATCCTGCTGTCCAAGTTACCTTTTTTTCCCCCTTTTAACTGTTAAGTGTCGACATACTGACAATATAATCTTTATTTTGTCATAAGCACATAACTAATTTCTGTACATCATAAATCAGTCATATGCCCAGGGCCTTGAAATATCTCTCCACCAACTTTTGCCAAACCACTTTTTGGGTACATAGAGGTAAGAAACCCACTTCTTTATCATCATAGGGATGTGCAAATTGTGACTGAAAATTTATCAGTTATTTTTATGACAGTAGGTAGGGTGCCAGTTACATTATTTTCAACATCTCCTATAAATCATCCTAATGATAACCATTTTACATAAGCAGTGTGTATTATTCGTGATTCAACACAGGTAAAATGTAATTGTGACCGTATATAAACAGTTACGATAAAAACATTCTTTAGTTTATACAATATACAGATCTTTATTTTACGAGACAGTGCAGTCTTCAAACTCTCCAATTGTAAACTGAAATATTTAACAGAAACATTTTCAATCTTGTGTCTCAAAAACTAAAAAAATTCTTCCCTTCCCTATTCTGTTTGAGATATCAGTTGCTGTTAGTACTTAACATGTATAAAAATATCTATTCTGTGATAAATCTACATGCGAGTCATGAGTCCCGTTCTCAGAGAATTCTGATTGGACTTGTAGAATTTCTGGAAATACCTAAATTCTACATTGTTGGACTCATTGTTTTTATCAATCAAGTTGAAGATAAATTGTAGATTGACCACTAAAAACCTCATATATACATCTTGTTTTAAATGCTTTAAATGTGAAAAGGTGAAAATGCTGGTAAAAACTAACAGTGTTGTCGTCTGTATACATCATGGTTCTGTCCATGATGGGTTGAGGTTATTACAAATCAATAATTCATGCGATCTGTCACAACATACTAAATTTCTTTCCACAATCCATTGTAGTCTATCACTTAGCTAGATCAATTAACTCTACTTGAACAGTTACATCTAACTAGCAGAAACCCCCTTAATAACAGAACATTTACAATCCATCAAATAATTTTAGCATTTTCCAGCGTTCATGAGGTTTGAACTCGCTGCCAGAATAACACTAATCACGTTTGTTTTTTATGTCTAAATAAATTATCCATTCAAAAGTGATTCACTTTTGTAAATAATATGTATCTCGTTACATCCTTCACGGTCATTAGTTTTACACTCTAGGGTAATGCCCAAAGACTGCAACATTCAGGTCTATGTCCCAGGTGATCTGCAACACCATTTCATAATAAATACTTGTCCCAATATCCATATCAAGGATAATCTTAGCGAATGTTTTAAAATGACTAAGTTTTTATACAATATGGCAGTGCTATAAGTTGAGAAGTAGCACTCGTGGATCTTCTATTGCCGACTTAATTTTCCGTAAGAATGTCACAGCCTCCCTTCCATCTATCAGGCGATGATCGTAAGTAAGGGCAACAAACATCATTGGTCGGATCTCAATCTGATGATATTGAATAAAAACATGTTACAACTTAAACAACACTCGAGAGGAACATGTCAGCATTGATACAGATTTATGTAGATTTACATGTCTCAGAAGAGGAATTATCTCCCTTAGACTAGAAAAATCCAGAACTATTCAAAGTTGTGAATACAAACTGCTAAGTGATTTTAATGGCTGTTTATGTGACTTTTGTATCAAGATATATAACTGCAGTCCTTAAACAAACAGTTAATGACCCAGACTGGAGTGTGCATAAACCAACCCAACAGAAATTAAACCAAATAGTTTCAATCACAACATACCAAAGTGTCACCAGTAAGTGAGGTTATTTATTTGACCGAGGACTTTCCCCTCTATCATTGAGACTTCATCAGGACCAGAACCTTATGTTGATCTGTTAACCTTCTTATTGATAAAGAAAATCTATTTTGATATTTGTGTTGACGACAACCATCTTCCGTCTATCTACATACCTTTCTGTTGACAACAACCTTCTGTCTATCTACATACCTTTATGTAGACAACTACAACCTTTTGTCTATCTACATACCATTCTGTTGACAACAACCTTCTGTCTATCTACATACCTTCCCATTGACAACTACAACCTTCTGTCTATCTACATACCTTTCTGTTGACAACTACAACCTTCTGTCTATCTACATACCTTTCTGTTGACAACTACAACCTTCTGTCTATCTACATACCTTTCTGTTGACAACTATAACCTTCTGTCTATCTACATACCTTATGTAGACAACTACAACCTTCTGTCTATCTACATACCTTTATGTAGACAACTACAACCTTCTGTCTATCTACATACCTTTCTGTTGACAACTATAACCTTCTGTCTATCTACATACCTTTATGTAGACAACTACAACCTTCTGTCTATCTACATACCTTTATGTAGACAACTACAACCTTCTGTCTATCTACATACCTTTATGTAGACAACCACAACCTTCTGTCTATCTACATACCTTTCTGTTGACAACTACAACCTTCTGTCTATCTACATACCTTTCTGTTGACAACAACCTTCTGTCTATCTACATACCTTTCTATTGACAACAACAACCTTCTGTCTATCTACATACCTTTCTGTTGACAACAACCTTCTGTCTATCTACATACCTTTCTATTGACAACAACCTTCTGTCTATCTACATACCTTTCTGTTGACAACTACAACCTTCTGTCTATCTACATACCTTTCTGTTGACAACCACAACCTTCTGTCTATCTACATACCTTTATGTTGACAACTACAACCTTCTGTCTATCTACATACCTTTCTGTTGACAACTACAACCTTCTGTCTATCTACATACCTTTCTGTTGACAACCACAACCTTCTGTCTATCTACATACCTTTATGTAGACAACTACAACCTTCTGTCTATCTACATACCTTTCTGTTGACAACTACAACCTTCTGTCTATCTACATACCTTTCTGTTGACAACTACAACCTTCTGTCTATCTACATACCTTTCTGTTGACAACTATAACCTTCTGTCTATCTACATACCTTTATGTAGACAACTACAACCTTCTGTCTATCTACATACCTTTATGTAGACAACTACAACCTTCTGTCTATCTACATACCTTTATGTAGACAACCACAACCTTCTGTCTATCTACATACCTTTCTGTTGACAACTACAACCTTCTGTCTATCTACATACCTTTATGTAGACAACTACAACCTTCTGTCTATCTACATAACTTTATGTAGACAACTACAACCTTCTGTCTATCTACATACCTTTCTGTTGACAACTACAACCTTCTGTCTATCTACATACCTTTCTGTTGACAACTACAACCTTCTGTCTATCTACATACCTTTCTGTTGACAACTACAACCTTCTGTCTATCTACATACCTTTCTGTTGACAACTACAACCTTCTGTCTATCTACATACCATTCTGTTGACAACTACAACCTTCTGTCTATCTACATACCTTTCTGTTGACAACTACAACCTTCTGTCTATCTACATACCATTCTGTTGACAACTACAACCTTCTGTCTATCTACATACCTTTCTTTTGACAACTACAACCTTCTGTCTATCTACATACCTTTCTGTTGACAACAACCTTCTGTCTATCTACATACCTTTCTATTGACAACAACAACCTTCTGTCTATCTACATACCTTTCTGTTGACAACAACCTTCTGTCTATCTACATACCTTTCTATTGACAACAACCTTCTGTCTATCTACATACCTTTCTGTTGACAACTACAACCTTCTGTCTATCTACATACCTTTCTGTTGACAACCACAACCTTCTGTCTATCTACATACCTTTATGTAGACAACTACAACCTTCTGTCTATCTACATACCTTTCTGTTGACAACCACAACCTTCTGTCTATCTACATACCTTTATGTTGACAACTACAACCTTCTGTCTATCTACATACCTTTCTGTTGACAACTACAACCTTCTGTCTATCTACATACCTTTCTGTTGACAACCACAACCTTCTGTCTATCTACATACCTTTATGTAGACAACTACAACCTTCTGTCTATCTACATACCTTTCTGTTGACAACTATAACCTTCTGTCTATCTACATACCTTTCTGTTAACAACTACAACCTTCTGTCTATCTACATACCTTTCTGTTGACAACTACAACCTTCTGTCTATCTACATACCTTTCTGTTGACAACTACAACCTTCTGTCTATCTACATACCTTTCTGTTGACAACCACAACCTTCTGTCTATCTACATACCTTTATGTAGACAACTACAACCTTCTGTCTATCTACATACCTTTCTGTTGACAACTACAACCTTCTGTCTATCTACATACCTTTCTGTTGACAACAACCTTCTGTCTATCTACATACCTTTCTGTTGACAACTACAACCTTCTGTCTATCTACATACCTTTCTGTTGACAACCACAACCTTCTGTCTATCTACATACCTTTATGTAGACAACTACAACCTTCTGTCTATCTACATACCTTTCTGTTGACAACTATAACCTTCTGTCTATCTACATACCTTTCTATTGACAACAACCTTCTGTCTATCTACATACCTTTCTGTTGACAACTACAACCTTCTGTCTATCTACATACCTTTCTGTTGACAACAACAACCTTCTGTCTATCTACATACCTTTCTGTTGACAACTATAACCTTCTGTCTATCTACATACCTTTCTATTGACAACAACCTTCTGTCTATCTACATACCTTTCTGTTGACAACTACAACCTTCTGTCTATCTACATACCTTTCTGTTGACAACCACAACCTTCTGTCTATCTACATACCTTTCTATTGACAACAACCTTCTGTCTATCTACATACCTTCCCACTGACAACTACAACCTTCTGTCTATCTACATACCTTTCTGTTGACAACTACAACCTTCTGTCTATCTACATACCTTTCTGTTGACAACTACAACCTTCTGTCTATCTACATACCTTTCTATTGACAACTACAACCTTCTGTCTATCTACATACCTTTCTGTTGACAACTACAACCTTCTGTCTATCTACATACCTTCCCATTGACAACTACAACCTTCTGTCTATCTACATACCTTTCTGTTGACAACTACAACCTTCTGTCTATCTACATACCTTCCCGTTGACAACTACAGCCTTTTGGTCTATACGATGCATTCCAAGGATAGCGGACTGTGGAGGATTGATAATTGGTGTTCCAAACAGAGAGCCAAACACACCTCCATTACTAATCGTGAATGTGCCTCCATCCATGTCTTCTATTGCTAAGGCACCAGCCCGAGCCTGAACACCACAAAGAAAATAATTATATTGGTTGGAAACTGATTTACATCATACACAGTTATACCAACTTGTCTCTAATTGTTCTAGCTTTTGTTTTAGTCTTGTCACTACAGTAGAAATTGACATAATTATCTACAAAACAAAGGACAAAAATTCAATATTTGACCCTTTGCTGTGACCTTATTGTCTATTGAGAATTGTGACTATAGCCAATCACGTCAGATCTTGCTCTGGATAAGCACTAGTAAAGGAGTTATGGTCCTTGAGGTTATCAGTTTAGATAATGGTCTCTGCTATACAGACCAGTCAAGACAGTCATGTGTTACATTACGTACCCAGAAATACCATCCTGTTGTCATTCTTACCTTTTCTCCTAAAGCAGCTATTTCTATTTCTATATCAGCATAGTTCATCTTTGCTACATTCCGTAACACTGGCACAACCAAGCCCTGAAAATACAAAGCAATCATTACTATTGTTTGAATGATAACAAAATAGATCTCGGCGGTTAATTTTTATATCCTTCGTTTAAATGTTCATAACAAATAAAAAAATGTCCAATCCTAAATACTACCACAATAACCCCTATTAAAGATTTATCAAATCCCACTTCAGTAAACTCCTGGACTTGTGAGTTTTTTAAAGTTTTCGTAAAAGGAACAATCAGGCCAAGTGACATTTATTTTTTTATCCTTGTTCTTCTGAAACCAAATGTATATCATGAGTCAAATAACTTGATCCCAAGGTTAATTATCTCTCTAATATTTGAGGAAAGCACCACTATTTTCAGACTGCCTATGTACACACAGAAAAACGGAAATTTTGTAGTACTTACCATAATATGAGCAATGATAACGTCACGCCATACAAAACATACTGATGTTTAAATACTCACCCGGTTGTAGTTATACAGAGGTGCCATATACTATATATCAGAACACTTGAAAAATAAATTTTCCAGCAATGACACTTTCAAAACACAAAATTTTCTCTTCAGGGTAAAAATCCAAGGACACAATTGACGAAATATGGGAGTATTTGTACAGTAAAACCAATTTACAACAAAGTCTGGTGACCAAATACCAGGTAATCTGACAAGCTATAAATACAATTCATAATCAAGTGACATGATATGAACAATTTCATTGACCTGAGATTTATAGTCATTGGATTAGAGGTGTATCATTCATGTTGCCCAACACCTTGGAATTCAATTTTTAGGGCTAGTAAAACTCTTCCAAAAGGCAAGAATTTTAAAGGTTTCATAATCTTGAAGATGACAGTATCTAATGAAACAGTTTAGACAAAACTAGTCAATAGTCATAATGTGTCATAATCACAGGGCTTTAGTAGTTTGTTGTAAACAAGTTTTACTGTATACCTTTGGAGTAGACACCGCTACAGAAATGTCTATGTAGTCTCTGTACACTATTTCTTTATCGTCTATAACTGCGTTCACAGCAGGTTGATCTTCAAGTGCAAAAGCAGAGGCTTTCACAAAGGCCGACATAAATCCAAGCTTCAAGCCATATTTTTTCTGGAAAGCATCCTTATAGCAGCTTCTCATGTCCATTATGTTGCTGCAATGAAATGAAATAATTTTTCAATGCTCATTGTTCAAATCTATTGAATGGCTCTTAATACAAGTTTGCTATAGTACAACCTCAGACATACTAATGATGTCTCAATGACTAGTAAGATATATCTCTATCACCTTTAGCAGATCTATTCCATACAGGAAGGCTGCTTTAGACAGATGTTATATTTGTAAGTACACAGAAACATAATGTTGGCTTCTTTTGACACCAACATTAATTTTTGTAAAGTGTGTGTATTCATATGTTATAGACTTTGACACTCCTAATGCAGATTTTTTTAAAACATCAATTTTCAGAACTTACTAAGCTCTATTTTCCTAGAGGGATGGTGACAAGAGTTAAATATTAACAGATAACCTGTAGTTTACCTACAATGATTGGTTAATAGCCTACCTCATGTCAATCTCATTAAAAGTTGTTAACATAGCACATGTATTCTGGGCCTCTTTAAGACGCTCTGCAATCCTCAACCGCATTCTGTTCATCTTCACCTGTCAAAAACAAAAGAATTTGTAGTTGTAGTTATATTCGTGAAAATCACTCCATGTGGAGAAATTCCTTGTGTCAGAAGATCTGGAAAAGGATGTTTGACATTAACTATGAAATCCATGGTTTATTATTTGGTTTCTTACTAACTATGCTAGAAGTCAGTTATAAATTTTCATCGCATAAGTCTTGTGCACCCCTAATGCCTACCCTTGTCTCTGTCCTGGCCCCTCCCACGGGCCCTGCAGTGCTCTGGGGAGTGGCTTGTGTAGGTTTGATAGTAGCTACAGGGACAGATGCTGTGGGTGCTGAGGGCAGAGGCTGCACTGGTGGGGGTGTGGTGGGAATAGGGCCACTTCCTGCTGCAGGGGCAGCAGGAGCTGATTCAGTTGTTGCATTCGGGGCAGGTTCAGAAGCCACTTTTTCAGCACTGGCAGCTGGTGCATCACCTATCATAGAAACAATTCCATGAATGTACAATTCAAATGTCTTAAGATATAAAAAAAAAAAAACAAAAAAAGATGAAATGATTATACATCAAGAATCCAGTACAATTTTCAATTACATAAAACGTTCATTCAGCAATTTATTGAGAGTAAATAACATCAGCCGGTGACCTTACTTAACTGATTCTGTCTTCACAATGTTGACTATTGTAAAATCATCAATTTTCAAGGGTGATTTACTTTCATTGACTTTTAATCCACAATTCTTTATGTCCCTGAGCTGTTCAAATGAGTATAAGTAGATTTATCAAGCTATTTTATGATTTGTGAACGAAATAGTATTTTTTTGAAAAACCACCAAAATAAAGCCTCGAGTACATCTATGATTTTACTAGATCCATACTATTACTAGATGTTGTTCAGGCTATGACGAAAAAAAATAGGAAAAAAGATGAAATTTAAAGCAATATTAGAAGTACCTAAGACACTAAGGAATAAAGATTTGTGACTGTCAGCAGATATATACAGCACAAAAATAACAATATTGAAGAGGAAATGACAGGACATATATTAAAATATTTAATGTCTTTGTGAACTGTATCAATGACATTATTCCCTCGTTCCCATTTTTGCCCCATTCCTCCGTCTTTGGCTGTAGTCATCACCTTCATAGTGGACTCTTTGAATCATCACGTCTCAAAAAAGCTTTCTTTGATTAATGTCATAGATATATATATCACTGAACAAGATGTTGAAGATGCAATAAATAAGTTAGATACTTCTAAAGCTTCTGGTCCAGATAAAATGAGTCCAAGAATTATTAAGGAAGCAAAGACAGGGTCTATTATTTCAATTCTTTCTAAATTGTTTAACAAATCTATCGACTGTGGTATATATCCTTCTATATGGAAAGTCGCTAATGTTACACCAGTTTTTAAAAAAGGTGACAAATCCGTTGTTTCAAACTATAGACCTATATCTTTGATAAGTAACGTTGGCAAACTAATGGAAAGGTGTATTTTTAAACATCTTTACAATTTTTTTAGAGATACAAATTATTTTACAAATTGTCAATCGGGCTTCACACCTGGGGATTCTGCAACAAATCAATTATTAGACATTACAAATGATATTGGGAGGGCTTTAGACGCGGGTAAAGAAATCATTGCCGTATTCTGTGATATAAGTAAAGCGTTTGATAGGGTTTGGCACAGGGGTCTTATACATAAATTGGAAAAATCTGGCGTTTCTGGTAAATTGCTATCTTGGTGCAAAAATTATTTAACTGACAGAAGTCAAAGGGTTGTTATAAATGGTATTTTCTCTGAAACCCAAAATATCAAAGCAGGTGTACCTCAAGGTTCAATATTAGGTCCTCTCTTCTTTTTAGTATATATTAATGATATAGTGAATGATATTAGTTGTAAAATAAAGTTATTTGCTGATGACACAGCATTGTATATCATAGTTGAAAATCCCACGATTGCTATTAATACCATCAATAATGATCTTTCAAAAATACATGTATGGGCAAATAAGTGGTTAGTAAAATTTAATCCAGACAAGACAGAATCTTTATTAATTAGCCGAAAAACTATACCAGGAATTTATGATCCTATCACTATGGACAATGTCAATGTAACTAATGTAAAATCTCATAAGCATTTAGGGGTGTTATTTTCTGATGATGGTACATGGAAAAATCATACTGATTACATATTAAAGAAAGTGTCACCAAGACTAGCGGTTTTAAGAAATTTAAAAAACATACTTGATAGGAATTCTCTCCAAACAATATATTTTGCTTTTATCAGACCTATTTTGGAATATTCTGACGTAGTTTGGGATAATTTACCCAATTATTTATGTCAAAATTTAGAAAACATCCAAATAGAAGCTGCAAGAATAGTTACAGGTGCTACTAAATTGTCAAGTGTTAGTTTATTGTATAAAGATGTGGGTTGGGAAAAACTTTCTAAAAGACGGGAAAATCATAAACTCTTGCAGTTTCATAAAATGTATCATAAGAAAACTCCATTTTATCTATCCAGTCTAATTCCAAGTAAGGTATCAGATACCCACAGACATAATACTAGAAATTCAAACAATTTACTATTAATTAATTGCAGGACTCAGTTTTATAAAACATCTTTTTTAAATTCTTCAGTACATTTATGGAATTCTTTACCAATCGACATTCGCGAAAATCCGTCTGTCAGGATTATCAAAAGATTTTTACAAAAAGAAAATGTAATGATTCCACACTATTTTAATATTGGAAGTAGAAACCTTCAAATTTTACATACACGATTGAGACTTAAATGCAGTAATCTCAAACAACATTTATACTTAAGAAATCTGGAAGAAAGTCCATTTTGTTCATGCGGGTTAGTAGAAAGTACCCACCATTTTTTATTGTCTTGTGCTAATTATAACATAATTCGACAAAATACTTTACTTCAACTAGATATTACTCTAACTGAAAAAACTCTATTATGGGGAAACGACACTTACTCTAAACAGAAAAATGAACAAATATTCTTGACCGTGCAAAATTATATCAAGCTTAGTAAACGTTTTACCTAATATTTTTTGTCCTTTAATTCTTATTATAAAACTGTACATTATGTATTGTTTCATAGATCTGAATGGAGCTTTGAAAGGTAACCTTTTTTACATACCAATAAATTAAGGCGCCACTACTTAAGTTGTAAATTACATTTTGTAATTCTATCCACCACATGTGCGTATACGTAAGTTAATATGTTTTATTGTTATGTCCAAATATTACTTTTTCATCCAATGTCGATGTTAGGTGTTCCATTTCCGATTTATATTTGTCTTTGTATGTACATGGGAAAGGAATTAATATAAGCTTTAAGCTTGTTTTCCCATCCCATAAGATTATGCGTACCTGTCTGTAATTAAATGCTTATTACTGAATAAAAATATTGTTTAAACTAATGTCATAGATAGTAAAGGGGTAAGAATTTTGTATGTTTTCATGTTAGAGCCTTGACAATAAATCTCTCAGTCAAACCCAATCCTGCTAGACATTGAGAGTGAATTTTACTTTAACTGTGAAAGTATACAGTTGAACTAGAATGGTAACAAATTACATTCAGAGTCAATACCAGGACCTGTTGCCTGGCAACCTACTTTAATCTAACCGCCAATGATACCAGGAAGGTCCCTAACTGACTGACCCGAAAGTTTAAGTTTGAAGAGAGGTTGATGAGGCTCCACCCTGTCTCCGTCCTGCACCAACAGCTCTTCCACATAGCCTGCTGCAGGGCTGGGCACTGGGATAGATGTCTGTAACCAATAACACAACAGTTCATAACTCATACAAACTAAACCTGGAAAACAGTCTGCTTGTTTAACAAACCAAAACAGATAAGTTGTCTCCCCTTAGACCAAAAAGACCAGACAAAATGACTATAAAAAGTAAGACTGGTACCAGGGACATTTTTGACCATGATGGAGAATAATTTTGGCCAATTTAATGATAAAAAATACAATAAATCAATGACACTAGCAATTGGAAAAAAAACATTTCTATCTGTTCTAGTCTGTTTCTGCACCTTAAAGAAAATTCTAAAACCATACAGTCATATTTCACACAACAGATTAGGTACTCTCTGAAGGCCTTTTTCCCTTTTGTAAATAATATCACATAGTTGCAGGTGATAAAAATTTTTGAAAGTCATAAATCTTTTATTTGTGAATGACAAGACAAGGTATTTTTCATATTCAAAGCAAAGAAATATTTCCCTCTATTCATAAATTGTTCCATCTCCAATCAGTCTGTCAGGCAACATTACTCGACAACTGAAGCATGGTATGTATCACCTATATGTGTTTAACATCTCTAAGGCTGCTATTCTGTAACTTCTCATGCGAACCGTTCATCATGTATCTGTGCTTTATTGAGATAAACTGGTTTTTAACACAAGTACATGGTAATAGATTCCTTGCTCTGACAATGTTACAAACCAGCACCTTCAACAACTCACCTTGTCTGTTTCAATTTCACACACAACATCATCTTCTTTAACATAATCTCCAACAGCTGTTAACAAATATTTGGAAAAATTTTTTAAATCTCGAAAAAGTGACAAAAAGGTATGAAATATTAGCGACTGTCATGCACAGCCTTTCCTTCCTTTATTTTTGTACCACCACAACTTTAATATGTTTTCCACAAGGGCTTATAATTTTCTTTGAAGGCTATCATTAATCTGTTCAATCATCATTTTTTTCCCAGAAATGTACGAATAAAAAGACAATTATTCTAGACAGAATTTGAAACTTACTTAGGTTTGTTTACAGGCTCTATAATTCCTTCGTGGTTTTTCTTTTTCTAGCAACCCTTCATTTGAATGTTTTTTATCCTTTCTCAGGCAACTCTCAGACAAGATTGTATTTTACCTTATTCTCAGTGAACCTCACGAAAAAAACGCTTACCTTTTTCCCAGCGGACATCTCCCTCTGTAACAGATTCTGCAAATGTTGGTGTGTTGACTATCTTAAACTCATCATCTGTTCGTAAGAAACGGAGACCATACAGTATCACAAATTGCACTTCATTTACAAGTAACATTAAAACTACAATGTAAACAATTTTATAATAGTGTTTCCACTATTGTAACATAGTTATACTGGTTGACGCAGTGGTATCACATTCACTTTTCACCTAGCCATTCAGGTTTCGATTCCCAAAATGGAGGTGAAAAGTGTCACCTGGGCAACTAGGTGGGTTTTCCCCAGATACTCAGGTTTCCTCCCACAATAAGACCATCACTCGCTTAAATCCAGGACAACAAGGACAATAAGTATAAGTCTAAACAACTTTTTTTGAATTTGTTGTAAATAAATCAAGTTAACATTATACATAATGACACATTACCTGTGATGATATGCAACCTAATCTTAAATTAATGCATTTACAGTAATTTACAACAATTTTTTCATCAAAAAAGGATATTCAAAAATTTGAAAATATGAGTTTCTCTCCTATCATTATTAAGTCTAACTGTTATGATTCTGTAACAAGTAAGTAAATGATGCCTGAGGTATATGGTGACCGTCATAGTTAAACGCTTTCTGCTGTATCAAAGCATGTATTCCACATGTATACATGTTGACTGGGAAAATTCCAAAAGGGTCTATGTGTCCCAACTTGTAATACCTTATTTACATTAACGTACGTTTTTGCAAAATTGTTGTATAATAGTTATCAGTAAGACTTTGGAAAAGTGAAAAAACAAAATCAGTCATGATTATAGACTTACAAAAAACCGCTGACTGATGGAAACTTTGTCTACCTCCACGTCCAACCTGAAGCTTCGAAACATTTTGGAGTCTAAAAAACAAACAAAAAACAACAAAAAAATCAATTAAAATTTTACAGTATTGCAAAATACTATTCCAGTTAAGCATCTGCTTGACCCCTTGTCCCCAAGACTCAAAAATACTGGTAGATCAGTTCTATCCATGGGGTGAAGACAGCTAAAAAAAAAAGATTGTAACCCCTGGAGTATCGAGGACGGTTTCAGGGTTACAGAGAGCAAAAGTGATCGTAACCCCTGTAGTATCGAGGATGGTTCCAGGGTTGCAGAGAGGAAATGTGATCGTAACCCCTGTAGTATTGAGGATGGTTCCAGGGGTGCAGAGAGCAAAAGTGGTCGTAACCCCTGGAGTATCGAGGATGGTTCCAGGGGTGCAGAGAGCAAAAGTGATTGTAACCCCTGGAGTATTGAGGATGGTTCAAGGGGTGAAGAGAGAAAAAGTGATCGTAACCCCTGTAGTATCAAAGATGGTTCCAGGGGTACAGAGAGCGAAAGCGATCGTAACCCTTGGAGTATCGAGAACGGTTCCAAGGGTGCACAAAGCGAAAGTGATCGTAATCAATGGAGTATCAATGATGGTTCCAGGGGTACAGAGAGCAAAAGTGATTGTTACCCGGAGTTATCGTGGATGGGGTTGATATGTTTTACTGGAACATAATATAAATAAATAGAGTATAGTCTTTATACAATGTTTTTGCATATTTTTTTTTCTAATTAACACACAGGTAACAAATCATCATTCAAAAATAAGTTGCCTCAAATGTGATCTTAAAAGTATTTCGATGACATTGCAAAGTGGAAAAAATAAACACAAGCCTGCATCAGGTCCAAAGTTTTGCATAACATGCAAATTTTCTATAATTCTGAAGAAGTTCTGTCAAACTTCTATGTACTTAATTAAAACAGATCTAAAATTATAAAACCAAGTTTTAAACTAATGCTAGAAACTCCAGAAAGAGACCATCCAATTTTTCTGGAATTATTTATCTTGATACAAGTTTACTGATACATGTATCTGTGTACACAAAATATATCAATTATAAGTACATAATTAATGAATTTCAAATTATCCAAAATATATATAATTTATAACTGTACAACTAAAGTATCTTTTTATTGAAATTTTCACACCTTTTTTCACTTAGATTATTTATTTGAAATATGTTTTGTATACATTTCTCATAAAACTGACCATTCCCGGTACAAAGGACCTGTACAGTTCCTCAAAAAACTTACAATCTCAGGTTTTCTGAATGTTTCAATGGTGATACTTGTCTTGTAGCTGAAAGAAAATATGACAAAACATTGAAATATCTTCTTCCAAATATCTTTTGCAATTCACATATACCGGTTTATATTGTATACCTACAGAGGTTTACTTAATAACACAAAAATCCTTCAGATATTTAACAGCAATATATAAAAAACAATAGAAACTGTACACAATTCTGTAGAACAAACTCTGATATACTTTTACTTGACTAGCTTTTCACTGTATCTCCAAATATTTTTTTTTAACTAATTTAACCCATCCCACTGCATTCATCAAATATTCCATCTTTTTTAGTACAGCCTTGAGATGAATGGAATTTCATCAATTTTAGATATTTACTTGCTATAATATTTAAAAGGAACCTGATAACAATATGAAATTTCTGTTTAAACATGATTTATTCAAATAACTAGAAATGAAAGAAAACTAGAAGGTCTTTTTCAGAATGAAATTCATATCAAACTAGGAAAAAGGGTCTATCTCACTGAGGAAGATGCTACTTTTTTACATGTATAAATCAAAAGAAAGTAAGAGAATTTTTAATTGTTACATAATTCCTGCAGTATGATACCAGTAAACACTACAGTATGATAAATACAAAGTTATGTTATTTTACAACCATATCCCATTTTCTTACACAATCATTATATCCAAGGTACAACATTAATAAACAATATGGGACAACATATTCAACACTAACGACTCCCAATACTCGAGAAGACATTTAAAATCATTCTACAAAATGGCTGATCCTTATCACACAACCAGATTAATTGATCTTTCCAATTTGATGGCCAGAGAGCAAAAGTAGCGTGTTAACTCATGGCGTGTGATAAGACATCACCAATAAAAGCATGCATTTACATAAAGCTTTCAGCTAGAACCAGTAAAAGTACACACGTTAATCATGTATTTCTGTATCAACCTTCATGGGAAATAAATGTTGAGAAATTCACGTGAACAAGTTTCTTCAATAAATAGCAAGTAGCTTGTACTTTTTATTTGTCATCTGAATAAATTACAATTACATTTCACATCACAAGAATCATCAACGCATTACTTGGCACCACAACATTAAAAAGAAACTTACCACATGAAGGATGTTTCTCTTTGGCCAAGTTATTGATCTAAAATGTGAAAGAAAATATGTGTTAAATAAGTAATAAATTTCCTGTCTTGAAGGCAAACATATAACGATAAAATTGTTTGGAGCAGATCACTATTCAATCATTAATGATCCTAACAGAGTTAATGGTATATTGACAAACTGATATCCAAGGCTTTCACGAGGCCTTGAAAACGAAAAAGGATGACATACACTTCACAGAGATAAGACTTTGTTTAAAAACAAACAAATTGAAACTTGGGACATTTTAGCAATGTCTATGGGATACATAGAAAATTTCATTATGGTGAAATTCTGAAAAAAAAATTGAAATAGCCACAAGGCTCCAAAATTTGAATGTTTGATAACATAATCCAACAGATGTTTTTACTTTACTTTATAATCTACAAAGGAAGCATCACAAATTATAAAATCCCTTTCATCCCAAAACAATGTAATACATTGATGGAATAGTATGTCAACTGGTTAGTGAATTTAAGTACTCCTTGTAATGCAGAAAATTAAACTTGTTCAAAATAGTCTGATACCTAACCTTTTTAGAAATTTTAATAAAAAAATTCCATTCAGAAATAAATTGTTGAATCAATCTTTCACCTTAATTTTGTGACATTAAAATCAAACTTCTTCAAGGCATGTTTATGAATATCAAATTGGGGAATGAAGTGTGATTAAAATCTGTCAGGATGTCATTTCAATAAACATAATTATGTCAATAAATGGTCATGACCTTAACTGTTCTGTAATGATATAGTGCTAAAGGGAATACTGGTGAGAAATTGTGTTTATGACTTTACAGATAAATGTATCATCAGAAAGGATAAATAGGACTATTTATTTATATTTCATTGAAAGCTCTCAACCAGTGATTATGGTCCAGGGTTTGATTCCTGATACTGATGTGAAAAGATTGGGGGTCATCTTTCCGACCATGCTTGCTTTCCCCCGTACTCTGGTTTCCTCCCACATTAAGATCCCTCACTTGCCTCAATCAGCTGATAGCTTGTTTTGTGATTGTTATGAAATGAATTAAGTTAATAATGATAATCAACATTGTTTTTCATCTTATGTTCTATAACTATCAGATAACAATATATCACTTCTCATGCCAAGATAAAATGGTGGCTCCATCAGAGTAGAAAGTTTGTCAACTGGGTCATGACACATAAAAATTCAGAGACTCCCCAGGGACACATATAACTTCACACATTACTCTTCTGTTACTGCATCTGAATATTTCATGTCTTGACAAGAAATTACAACAGAAGTAAAAGGCGATTCCTCGCAGCCTTGGTATTCCACCTACTTTGTCAATTTACTGTCATATTATTCATACATGCAAGGAAAAATAAAAGAAATATGACCAGAACGACATTTCCTTTTAACAGTGAAAAAAGATATAGTGTATGTCTGTTTCTGAAAGAGTGTAAATAGAATCAAGGAAAGGGTGCTCCATTATCATTTCCTTGTAGAATAAATGGCCGTCTCAAAACCTGTCCTTTTAATGTACTGCTAATGACTCCATCGTGGTCACATACTTGGTCTACAGACTGGCATTACAACTTCTGTTGACCATTATCGTCATGTAGATCTTTCTTTTGTGTTTTTTAGCACTACTATCTATAATAAGTTATTATTGATCCTGGCCTGACTGTCTCCTCATTGTCTCCAGTTTGACGTACACAGCAGAAAGAAATTGTATAACGTTTACAACGCAATGCCTATAATAAATCTGACCAAATATAATGTAGAAGCTAACACGTCAAGAGCACCATCCCACGGTGACTCCAGTTTATATTGTCTAAATAATATAATGCATTTTGGATCAAAGAATTACACTGGAGAATATCCTAAAATTCAGTAACGAGACTTACATATAACAGAGACTTATCTTAAAAGTTGGATCATCCAATGACCTTGGCAATTTTTTTTATTTTTTTCCCTAAATTGAATTATTTGCCTCTGTCATGCTTACAAAGTGGACTTCCACCCATTCTTTACACATGTGTTACCAAACCACCATAAATAAAATCAGCAGAACCTTGGCATCCATCATGGTTTGATCTTTATTTGTTCTTTAAACAGTTTGATCTTTCCCCTTCATTTTTCTTCTTTCTCGTGCTTTGCTTTTTAATAACATGAAAAGTGAAAACACCTCTCAAGACTTAGCAATAATAATCTTGAACTGTCGAATCCAAGATGGCCACCAATCAACCATTTTGTTTTTCTGATAAGTCCTAAAATGAAAAGTACACAACAAAGAACCATGGGGAACCTATGTGTGGGATTTGTGAAAGAACAGTCCATCACTTTTCAATAAATATTGGTAACAAATTTTCTTTTTCAAAATCAAAGATGGCGGCCTGCCAGTCATTTAGCCTTTTTGATGAGCTCTAAAATCAAAAGAGCACAACTAGTGATGAACAGGAACCTACATATGAACGTATGAAATTCAGGTAGAATTGTCTATTCAGTTCTTTCAAAAAAAAAAGCAATAATCTTACATTGTCAAAATCCAAGAGGGCCATATGTTGACCATTTAGTTTTTCTGATTAGTCCTAAAATCAAAAGAACAAAAATACGGACCAAGGGGGACCTACAAATGACATTTGGGAAAGAACTTTCCATCCCTTTCAAGAAAGAATGATAAGCTTACATCAAAATCTTGGATGGCCGCCAGGCAGCCATCTTGTTTTTTTTTTTTTTTTTCGCTGATAGTCCTAATATTTAAAGGACACAAAAACAGACAAAGGGGAAATTACATATGAAATTTTGGAATGAACCATTAATAATTCTAAAGAAATAGCAATAACAAGACCAAGGCACAACAGCCCATCATTTTGATGATGATGATCTAAAACAGTAAGTGAAAAGATGGCCAAAGATGTATCCCCTATTTTCTGCCTCAACAGAGCCACAATCATTTTGTAAAGATCCATTCAATATCCATGGTCAAAGGATTCATTATGTATCAATTTATCATCCTAGCAACAGTACTAAAGAATTCAAACAATCTGCTTCTTAGACGTTCCTGCCAGACTATTACTGTGCTACAAAGAGTGTAAAATATTTAACTTATACAGTTACTTCCCCTTGTACAATATATCCATTCTGACAAACTGAACTATTTACTGGTATTAGTCTCTGTATATTAAGTTGACACATGTCCTAAAACCGAATATCTAAACCAAACAGAATACCAAAGTTGTCAATATTGTCAATCCCGGTGGGTATTTTTTTTCAATACCAGTAACGTGTCAAGTATGTTTTTCATTTGGTAAATAATTTTATGCTTTGTAATTGTAATCAGGGAAACATTACATACAAACAAAAGTCCAGAGACAGTGCAGGTATGCTTTTGAGAGTTTAAATACAATAAGAAAAATAATGTAGTTCAACTTTCTTCCTGGTTTCTTTAAATTCACAATGAACTTTAAAAAATTATTTTCTCACATGAAGGAACTCATTTTTAGTGAATAAAGTTTCCAGAGATTACCCAATCGGTCAGACACTTAAGTGACTAGAATCAATGGGAAAACATCTGAGAACATCCTTCATCATTAGGATTTGAAGTCACACCACTGTTCCCCTCTTGTATTTTGAAACTCGGAATACAGTATTCAATCAGTTGGAGCATGTATGGTACAAGTCTTGAATTTCAACAATTTGTCACACTTTGATAGATCTCCACATAATCAATTATTGTCATGGAGTTATAACAAATTAGGATAATAATGAACAAGGACTACATGTAAGTGAAATAGGAAGAAATGGTTCAAACAAAATTAAAGTTAGCTCAGTAGGTAGAGCATCCGTCTAGAGTTCGGAAGGTCCTGGGTTTGAACCCTGGTCTGGCTGCGCATTTTTTCACTCCTGTTACATTTGGTCTTGTGACCAAACCTAGTTTCAAGCAGTAGGTGAGTGCTTAACAAGGGGATACCCGAACCTGGGATGTTAGATGTGATATCTTTGGGGGCAAAGACTAAAAATAAGGAGGAAGGAATGTAGTGGAACTGGATGGGGTCGATCGTCAGCAACCAGTTAGCTCAGTAGGTAAAGCATCTGTCTAGAGTTCAGAAGGTCCCGGGTTCAAAAACCCAGTCTGGACGCACATTTTCCCCCTCCTGTTACAGAAATGTATAGTACAAGTCACACAAAATGCACAAGACATGGGACGAATTAAGAAGCTGCCTCATGATTTTCATACTATTACTGAACTTGCTTAGAATGCAAGCATAACAGTGTATTGAAACTCAAAGCTAAAGACAGTTGTTTAATGAAGTCTATTTTTTTAATGAAAAAGCTTCATTAATACCCTTAAATTATGATGTGTATATTATTAAAGATTTTTTTGCTTTTGTAGGAAACCTGAAGTACGGGGGATTTTTTTATACTGATACCTACACTTTCAATAAAATTGTGTCATTGAATTTGGACTTGAACAAGTCCTATATTTAGCCTTGCTCAGCTCCTACATTTCTTTAGGCCCACACTTACGGTTGCCTCCCTTCATTCGTAAAACGATAACTAATCTCCTTTCAATTGCCTTTCTGAACGGATGCCATTCATTTCTGATGAACTAAGACTAATTGATGGACTTCATCCCCACTACATTAAGGGGTATCATAAGCAATAGTAAACACTACAAATCTAACGATTAATCGGGGATATTGGGGACTTTTTGAAATATCGAATGTTGATTGACTTAACGCAAAAATAACCTATAAGGACAGATATCGTTTCATGAATCTGGTCACGGTGACCTCCCGTAAACTTCACCATTCCATTATAGTTGATAATACACTTAATGAGGGGGACAAAGATTATACAAACGGAATGATTTACGACATTGGAAATATCTTGTTTCGATTTAGCAAAAGCCGGTAAACGTCGTTTACTGTCCTTCAAGGGGGTCACCGGAATGTTTATCTAGGTTTACAAGCACTTCCTGTGTAACTTGCGGTTACATGAATAAAGATGTGTTCTGCATTTGAAGGAGAATTCAATTTTGTCCCAACTTGCCTTTCTTTTCCATGGTGAGTTTCTTAAAAGTGTCAATCTACACACATATCTTGGTAAACACCTCGACCCTTGCACCAGCATGGCAGCCATATTGAATGAGCTAGGCGCATGCGTATAAATAGGTCAAAGTTCATTCTAGCTGTAGTATTTGTCATCTTGGAAATCGGTAAAGTGCGAGGAAGGTAAATCCGAAAGGTAAGACAATTACAATGTACAACGATCTTACTTTAATCATGGTTGTAAGAAGTCTTGTTAACCAAGTTTAGAGGAGCTAACATTGGCTATCTTAAATTCATTTCACCTTTGTGGATTCATTAAGTGTCTTTTCTTAAGCAATTGACAGGTACACGAATATTAATAAATTATTAGTTATTTGTAGAGACGTATGAAGACGTATATGTATTTAGATACAGACATACATATATATGTTGAGTATGACACTGTTGTATTCTTTAAAACGTCAGCAATCAAGGATATAATAAACGTACGTGTATCTCTATTACATCTTAAAAGTATCGTATACACATATAGTTGATTCATTCACTGAAATATTTTTTTTCTGTGCAAGAGTCATTCTTATTCAATGAAGGCTTATATCGATATAAAAATGTCAATGTTTTCGCTGAAAAACTTTAGCAACATGTGTCTCGTTTGTAATTAGAGAGATGTCGGATATTTGAAAAGAAAGAAAGAAGAACGTATACAGTCGAAATTCAGAAAAATCATTAAACAATGTGAATTTGTCTTACTTATGTAAATAGATATATAATACTCCAGAAGACTAATTGTATGAAGGATATAAATCCACCATCCTTTTTTTATTGTTTGTTTGTTTTTTTTTCCTCCTCGTTGTGTAAGTCTGGCAACTGACAAATGGTTCAATGGAAGGAAGTTAAGGCTTCTATAGTTCTATAGTTGGAAAAGAGGTGAAAATACGCAGCTGTTAATTTTTTTCTATGAACAGATATCCGTGTATATATAAATTACATAGTATACCAAGACTTAGTCCATCTTTTCCACTATTTTACATTCTTATATGTAGTATTTTTTTTACATTAAATTGTGGAATTAAAAAACAATACATGAAATATAATTTTCCGTGAGCTGCCAATTTGTTACTTTAAGAGAGGTTTTTATTTTCTTTTAAACATTATTGACAAGTCGGACAAGACGTGAATCTACGTTACAAACATTTGTAATTCGGAAGCAAAGGTTAAGAATTCTTGTCGTTTTTGCGTGAATAATCGTTACAATTGAAATGAACTACGTACCCACGAAACCTTCATACATTTTAATATCGTCGCTTGTGTTTTAAGCTGGTTATAGAAATTCACGAAATCAGTCATCTGATGTCTTTGTTTTAAGGATATTGATAGTCATGGATTTTGTCAAACATGAATTCAATTTTTTATAAAAAAAAAGTCCTACATGTTAACTAGACAAAATGTCATCGTCTTCATAACAGTGATAAAAAAAACATGAATATATATATGTGTGTGTGTGTATGTTGAAAATTAAAAGAACATATGATTCATGCATTGGAGGTCTACATCTGAACGGTTGGAAATGGATTTTCAAAATTATAAACAATAGTACATATTGTAATGTGAAACAGTCATCAATTAGTTAATATATATTTAGGTCTTTAAAGTCCTCCAATCTTTTAGTCACGCTTAGCATTACACTTCATGTGTGGCAATAGAGAATTGCCGTTTTCTGTCATATCGTGTCTCTCGGCCATTTTCTGGCTGGAAGATGTTTATTAAATAATGAGAAGCAATGATTGACATCCTTAAACCCGGCCTCAGTATCATATCCCTCATAAAATACCATTTTGTGTCATCGCTAGAACGATTATCATCTGTGGTGCGAGCCCGCTAAATTGTGGGCGTTCCCGAGCATTGACAGACGGCTGGCCAATAAGCCCGCTGTCAGAACAAGGCTTTGATGAGTTTTCATGAGTAGTTAATGAATGGGATTTGCATCTGCTCGCGAGAGTCGCGTGTAGTGGGTTGTGTCTTAAACTCGTATTTTTTTCCAAAGGGGAATTCATTTAAAACATTAAATTCTACAATAGTCAAATTATTCTTCCGTATGTGAACAGTGGTAGTGGACACTATAAGCTTGTCGACGGAACTAGGCCTATTAATTTCAAACCATATTTTCTGGCAAGTCAGCTGATAAAAAGAAAGGATATCTTTGGTAAGTACATACATTTATTGGTGATATCACACTGGACAATAAGTTCTTATGATTAACGTTAATTGTTAGTGTCATTAATTGTACTGAACTGTTATAAGACATATTTGTGTAATAAATAGCCTGGTTGATTTTCACAGTTCTCAAGATGTCTATTTCATCTTTTACTGGGAAAGGAAATTGACAGGGAATTTTTCACACATTTCACCGAAATGTGACAATCATGTATGTTTCATATCAAACTGTTATCTTCTGGAAATTTGTGGGTAGATAAACTGTAGATGATAAATTGACCACGTTACGTTACGTTTAATAATAGATTTTCTTATAAACCTACCGACATACTTTTGATAAAATTCAGAAGATATACACATTTTATTTATACAATCTATGGCTGTCGTCATCCTTTCCATATTTAATCGGCGATATCTATTAAGCAGAGTTTATAAATCAAAGGAACTTTGTCCTATCACGCCCGCTCCGGCAGGCCATTCTGATAAGTGATAACTCAAGAAATGAAAATAGAAAACATCACATGCTTTTAGTTTGTGTATATACCTGGACTGGAGATCGATGGTTGCAATCAATTGATTATCAATCAGTATGTTCTAGTTATCAACATGGTTTGATAATTTGTTATCAATTTGAATTCACAGCCCAAAGTTTAAAAAACTTTATGTTTTAAAATTAAAGTATTTGTATTTAACCTTAATTATGTTTTTTTTAAATCATCGCTTATCAATTATTTATTGCATTTTTTTTTTTAAATTTTAAGTTTATTAGAATAAAACAGTGAAAAACGGAACTTGATTAGGAAAAATGCTTTCTTAAAAAAATATTTCTTAGTATATTTAGCAAAAGTGTTTCTTATGCTTTCACATAATTTGCATTTAAAAGATTGTTTTATTAGAATACTAAATAGTGAAACCTTGAAGTATTATGAAAATGTATTGAATGAAACTGATAAATTTGTATCTGTGACTTTCTCTCATTATGTATCTGTCTTCACCCTTGAAAACCGAACATTTTTTTTATATCAAGTTGTATGTGGGAAACTGATATTTAATATCTCATGTGTTAAATAATTAAAGTTCGTCTTAAAAACAAAAACATGGCGTTCTTTTTTATTTGTCTTTCGGACTATTAAAATATGAAGAATTTTTAAGATGCGGTCCATACCGCTGAGAGGGTTGTTCCGGTTGATTAACGCGGGTGCGCAGGGTTCTTTGTGTAGGGAGAACTGTGTAAGACTTGTTATCACCGTAACTCTGTTTAAATGGTAGGGAAAAGTGCGACTGATATGACAAGCTCGACAACTGATAAAGAATTGCCACGCGACCCAGGTAGGTAATTGTTCACCTGCGTAATGGCTTTATAACTAAACCGTACCGAGGGCAAAACCAGACAATGACCCGCACGCGAATAATTGACTGAGCGCGGTCAATCAAGTTTGGAGAAATTAGGCCAGGTGTGCCGATTATGGTTCCCTGGACTGTGGTTGTGGTTTATCTTGCGTAACCTGTGGTCATTTAAAGATGAAGGGTGACTGGCTATCATCACCGTCACACCTGAACAAAACAGCACTGATTCTTCTTGATAGCACCTGGACATTTCTTGAATAAGAAATGACACGCTGACAAAATCCTGGACGTTCTGAGTACAGTCAAGCAAATATTTCAACTTTGTGAGACATGAGTTCAAACAGAGTAATGATATACATATTGTTAAACATTTACAAAATAAAGGATTATTTTTAGTGTTTGCTGTTACCGTAGTGTATTTGAGCAAAGAAGGAAATGTCTGCATTATTTCGTTTTCGTTTTACAATTCAAAATTTAAATGTACTGACTAAAATTAATTACATTTAGACAACAAAATTACATTGATTAAGAAAATATTACTTTTACTTTTAAAAGTACTGTTGTTACAAATGAAAATACGGAAGTGACTAAGTTTTTTTAAACGCTTGCACAGATGATTGATAAATGGATGTTGATTAATGAGTCGGTATTTTCATTTTGTTTTTTAATTGATATTCTAAAAATTGTGATGTGTCTTACTTTATGTTAAAATTGAACTGTCCTATATATAGTTAAGTTTTAGTGTAAATTGGATTCGTATTTTCCCCTGTCATACATGCTGAAATTGATCAAACAAGGGAGGTAATAAATTTTAACATGTGAAAAGTATTATTATCATGAAAATAGACTTTACATGAAATTTGATTTCATTTATAAAAATATCAACAACAGTACTGATTTTACCTATTTTTCTTGCAGAATTTCCTTTCATATTAACCTGCAAATACATGATAAGTCTACATATATAATTCATAATGCAAAAAGATGATAAGTTTTAATAGGTTTTATTGTCCTTTTCAAAAATCTTTAATAGAAAATTTCCCTAAAGGATTTATGAAAACTGAGAAAAATAATTTAATGACTATATATATGTGTGTTGTAAACCACATTACCGAGCTCTTAAATGACATGCCTACATTTCTAAATTTTAGCTTATGAAGTAAGTTTAGATGAATTATTAAAGAAATTCCACAAGTTTTACCATATGTTATTGATGAAATGTATTTGTTCGTGAATATGATCATGTTTTTTTGCTATTCATAAATATTTCATCTCAACTTCTCAGAGACTATTTGCGTTTATGTGTTTATTTTATTTGCTATATAAGCATAATTTTTATATATTGTAGGAAACAGAATATATATACTATCTTATAAAGGTAAATCAATGTAAGGTAAATATACTTATAACAGCATCTGTTATAGGAAAAATGGTTTTGGAAGATTCACAGGGGCTGGTCACAACTTATTTCCCTATTGGGTTGATGCTATATATATATAGATATGCCATGGGTAAATAAATTGTAACAGGTACCTGTGGCAGGACTTATAATACACACACTGTTGTTTATACTTGATACTTTTTCAGTATTTCATAAATTAATGAACTGAAATGATAATTTTCTTTTATTTTTGAATTTTTAAGGTGAAGATATTTTACAGTTTTTCTAGAAATCATTTTCATTTAATTTTTTTTTTTTGAAATGACAATTATTTTTCTTAAGTATTTTTCAAAGCAGTTTTGAAAATATTAAGATCGCTATATTTAAATGTCTTATTAGTGTTTTGTATATAAAGTAGCAGCTCTAACAAAAAGAAACAGACTCAATACTATGATGTTTAATCATTTTTCACAAAATAGCAAATATACAGAAACGAAACATCATAACAGAAATTTTCTTACTGCGATTATGATTAAAAACAATTTTATATTTGGTTTTCATTTTTCATCCCCAAAAAAAAATATAAGTGGAAATTTTTAATTAAATTGCACTTAGACATTGAATATATATCATGATTTCACTTTTTTTTCTTTTTATTTTTTTGAAATATCAGACAAGCCAAATTCAGAGTGTGACATTTCTTACTCCTGGAAATATGTCATCCTCAACTGTTCTTAATTAATATTTCATGTTATTTGAATTAACAGTCGTAAGATGCTATAGAAATTGAACCAAGTCTCTTTTAATTTTTGTAAATTTTATTGACCATATTCCTTCTTTTTTTTTTTTTTTTAGAACATGTGTTTATCTTTTTACAAAATTAAATGTCTCAGAGGAAAATATTGGCATTTCTAGATTAGCAGCTGAGGAAAAATTTAGCCGTTTTCCAGACAGCAATTAATGAGACAGAGATGGGGGAGATCAGTGTTAGAAACGCTCTTTGCTAATCTCAATCACATCTGTAACTTATCTGATTTACCAAAGCATATTGGAAAATATTTCTTAATAAGATTGTTTAGACTGCTTTAAGACTCTTTAATAAAGAAATTAGTGATAGTAAGCTTATAATGGTCTCGCCTGTTTGTGGTGTTCGAATTATGTGATCTAGAAATATATGTTTTCATTTGGAATATCTAGTAGAATTTTCATTTTAATTAATTCAGGTGTGTTAACAAAACGATTTAATGAAAAAATGCTGTCAATTTATTCTATTCACATGTCATGCTACTAAGTTTTTCTTCATATCAGCAGAATACTCTGTATGAGGCTTCGTTACAGTGTTACAATGCACTTTGATATACCCGGGTATATAAATGTAACCCTGGTAAATACTAGCAACAATATACTGCCAGTTTGATTGGTTTAGTGGGAAACCAGCACACCAGAGGTCTTGGGTTCAAATCTTGATGGAGGCACAGATGAAAATTATGACCTTTGTTACATATATATTTATATGAGCTATTTTCTATCTTGCATAAGAAAGAAGATTTAAAATCACAATGAAACACAAATAACTTTGTTATTAATATTTAAATTTGTGTTTTTGCAGGTGCTGTTGTCAGCCAGATGTGTGATCAGTGTCCAGTAGTCCCTAACTGACCACACTTTGGGAATGACCTCTGTGTTTGAGACAACCTCATCTCAAGGACATATATTAAATGGTGAACAGTTTTCGTATTCCCCTGCCAGAGATCCGAGCCCCAAGAACGGATTTCAGGATAAAGGTTTCTACCTCAACATTCCAAAGTTTGTCAGAGAAAAGGATGATTCAGAATCAGTGAAATCAATTGACCGTCAGGATCAAGCATTGTCCAAAGTCAGCTGTGGCAATTTCTTTTACCAAAACTCCTTTATGACACAAAATCAGGAAAAGAATTCCGACAGTATTGAAAACGGCCTTGACATGGTGAAAAGTGATCCCGTTATTACGGAAACGTCACAGCTCTTGCGCGGCATACTTCAGCATAAAGACAAACATCTTACAGACAAGATGGGTGACAATAATAACATCAAGACTACAGACAAGCTTTCAGAAGATCAGGATTTGAATGAGGAGGCAACTGCTATGAATAGCTTGGAGGAAGAATATAGAGAGGAACTTGATCGTAGATCTGTTAACTCCGCAGATTTATCAGGAGACGACAGTGACTTCAGTATGTCTGGAGACAGGAAATCAAATGGAGGAGAAGATAGTTATGATATGGATAATTGTGATGAAAATGATATGTTTGTTACAGAAAACAGCAATGCTGCCAAACGCGCACGTGTTGAGAACATTTTGTCAAACATGCAACAGTTGCCAACACCCTCAGATAATAATAGTTCAAACAATTTGGAAGTCAGACGACAGAAGCGTAAACAGTATCAGCCAAAATGGCTGGAACATTCCGAAGGAAAACATAGAAAGCTTGAGAAGATGGCGCTGCAACATCAACTGTTACAGTTACAGGAGCAGCTCCAGCATGTACAGAAACGTTACATGGACCTCTATACAGAGGAACACACACCTCTGGAAGATGGTGACATGAACGGCTCAGACGAAAGATATGTAAACCATGACAGCAAAAAAGACAATTGTAACAAACTTTTTCCCAAAAGTAATTATTCAACATCACCACCAAATCTGCATAAAACATCAGCCGATAATGATCGAAAAAATTCCATGGTAGCTGGTGTTGATGAACCCAGGGAAGGGACAAAGCCAACCGAAAATGGTCCTTTACAACAGGTAGATATCCACAACTTCTCCAATTTGCTGAAGACACAACTTGTGGATGTTGTGAGTTCCACAGTGGATACAGTGTTGGATAAATATATGAAGGATGGATCTGCAAAGACTGTTGAAAAACCCAAAGAAAAGGAACAGAAGAAAAAACAGAGCAGTAATGTAAACGGTGGGAGTAATGTCAACAGTAATGTTAGTAGTGGTGGCAGTGCTCACAAAACTGTTAAAGAAAAGCCGGACGTGAAACCGTATGACAGGCCGTTATTCGGAATGCGGAGTTCTCCAGTTCGTGAGCCTTTCCATGATCATATTGGAAACATAGCTCGAGTCCTGGAGAACAACACCTCCAGTGCCTTTGAAACTCCTCGAGGACTTACGCCAGACCTTCTACGGGGCCCATCTCATCACCCATTGCCTTTCCCTCTTCCTCCATTCTCATACTTCCCTCCCACAATGCTTCACACTCCAGCCATTTATTCCTCCACACCATTGGGAGTAGAACCTGAGCAGACGGAAGCCTTGCCATTGGTGGTCAATCAAACACCTAAAAAGAAGCGCACCAAAGTGACGGACACTCGCCTGTCCCCTCGTGCTGCACGTGCCTTGCTAGGACAGGATCCCATGGTACTAAGTCACGTTGGAGATGGAGACAACCACCACCAACACCCTGCATCCTCTGGCTACCAAGCCCTGATTCCTCCAGTTCTCCCAACCAGTGTGGCCATCCCAAATCCAGGACTCCAGCATTCCAACATATTTGACTTCTACGGACGAGAATATGGCTTCTCAGAGATGCGTTCTTCTAACCATTCTCCGCTCCATGCTGACCATCCATCTCCTAGCACCATTCATTCCTGCTCACCATCGGATAGCTTCCAAATGAAGTCTGAAGGGCTGGACAATAACTCCGACTGCTTTGACAATGGCCATGTTCATATGATATCCTTTTTTAGTTTCAATTCATAAAATATCAGAAGAAAGCGGCTACTTCAAGGTAGGTAAAAATCTTTAAATGTATTTAAAGTATGTATGTACTAAGGGGGGCGATATATGCCTTAGTTTGTTTTGATAACATCCCTGTTACATAACCTTGGGGATTCACAGACATTTATCTGTTTGATTTCGATCAATGTTACAACACTTCAGTGCTCCATAAAGAATGGATTGGGTAATAAGTTTACATTTAAAGTTTGAGTAATGGTTTGTACAAACTTTGTTTGAACAGATTCTTAAAATCAAAGTTGTTTAACTTCAAAGAAACTTGACTGTAAAAAAAAAATATAAGATATGAGATTTTTATTTTATTTTTTCTTAATTTTGACATAAGTAATCGTATATTTTTAGTGACGAGTTTTATGTTAAATAGTGACTGCGTGATCCATATACTTTTTATGTGGCTGTTGATTATACGTAAATTAGTAATTAACAAGTTGGTTATAAAGGACGTAGAAAATCGAAGAAGTCTGATTGTATTTATAATTTTTGTTAGATATTGGAAATGACATTGAAACACTAACAATGTCTAGGTTAGAATAACGAGTTTGTCTATGATTGACTGAAACTGATTAATTACCTCTGTGCTGTTTAAGTAAATGTGTACTGATTAAATTGACCTGTCTTATAATGACAAGGACAGAGAATGAATTAGCTGATGATGTTTAACTGGATTTTCAGAAAACTTGATTTGCACTTTGAATAAGGTATATTTTGCATGTTCAAGGCTATTTGGTGAGTTTTTTTTTTAAACGCTACTGCTTGAAATCAGTAATTATACTATTAATAAATTTACATCAAGAGGCTGGGGATTAGAATACATCAGGTCAGGTATGACAATGTATCACTTTAGACAGTGTGGGTAAAATATGATACCTCTCAACTTGTCTGTATAACTGTTATATAGAGTAATCACAATTGTAAGGATAGATGTAAGTTTGGCATCTCCTTGTAAACCTGAAGCCTTGCCATCTGGACTATATATATATTTTGGCATTTTATTAAGAAAAACACAAATCACCTAAGAAAAAAATAATTAGAAACTTTAAATTTTAAAGGTTGTTATATATCAGTATTTGTCATTATAGTATCATTTTATTTCAATTTTTACATTCATAAAAAAAATTTCATCTATCACCTCCGCAGTAATTGAATCTGCGTGATATGACCAAAGAAGTCAGTATTTTGTAAAATGTTTATGAATTACTTTAGGATGCAAGTTATTCACATGAAATGCCATACAGTCTGAAGTAGTGTAATTGTTTGTAGGAAACGACAATATCGCCAGTTAATATGTGTAATCATTCATTGTGTACGAGATTTTCAGGCAGTAATTACTCGCTATAATCTTGTTGTGAATTGTAACCAGAGTGTAATTTGCCTCGTACCCTAAGTAGGACGACCAACCCAAGATTTGGTGGGATTGGGTTGAAAAGTGGCCGGGACAGACACTGCCATTAGGTAGTAGTTAGCTAGCAAATGCTATCATAATGAGATAAACGCAACATAAAAAGTGAGGCTTTCAACAGGAAGACACAGGGTGCTGAAGCCGACCTGTAATGCTTATTGTTGGCGACAATTACTGTCGATTTATGCTGAAGTATTAACCCGTTAATTACCATATTGAGTCGTACAGAATGATGTATGCGATGATCGACCTTGTCTTATCAACTTCTCAATACTATAATTATCTTGTCTTTTTAATGAATTCTGCAGAAGGGGGATAGTTTTGATGCGATATTATCTCTCTTTATCTTCATCACTTATATCCCAGCTTCTGTACCAAACATGATCGTTCAGCCCTGTGGGTACAACCCCAACCCTGATACATTCATTATACACCAACAATCTGCAAATTTTCTACTAAATTTCCTTCTGGTAATCATGGATTATTATCTAAATGTCACCAGCCAATTTCAAAGATTAAGCACTACATGAGAAATACATTAAGATTCAAACAAAACCTGTTACCTGAAGATTACGTCCAGGTAAATTTCTTCACCTGAATCTTCGCAAATTGCGAGCAGTCACATATCAGATTTTTTAATGTCTAAAGATCATCGTAATGTTTTGTCCTTTGTATGGACGTTTGTTCTTGTGTACTTTGGTCTGTCATGTCATTTTCTTGGTTGCTTTACGGATGAATTAAGATAAGACATACTGTGACTGGTAAATGAACTACTGAGCTATGTCTCACTATACGATTTACCTGACCGCTCAGGCTAATTGAAATGTAGAACTTATTGTCTATGCTTGTTCAGCATTGCTTGGTAACCATAGCATTGAAAACACTCAACAATTTTTATCTTTGAATCAATGTGACTCTGAGAAAGAAATGTCGTCTGCTAAATTGATGCATGAATATAATAATCAAAATGTTCTCGTAGGCCATAAATTATTACTCTCCGTCTCTATCAAGGATACTGTGGCTTTCCTTATCTCTTTGCTGCTATTGTTTCTTCTAGATTGATATAAAAATGTGGCTTTTGATTGGCTGCTTGTATTAATGTGTTGTCCCAGTATGGTCTCGCGGTGGGTTGTGAGCGATGGTCTATTGTCAAGGCTCTCCCCCACTTTGTCCGCTGGGATTAAGCCTTTTGTTACACCTTTTCAGCACTATTTAGTTACCTGGCACAAAAGACGATCACGACAGACGTCTGTATTCTTACATCAAATATCAATACCTGAGCTGGCCTGACAGAACGGTATGAAACCATATAGATTAATATTGTATTGAATAGATTTCTTGAGAATGGAAAATATCTCACTTTTGTCTCAATGACGGTTTTGATTTTTACCCAAATAATTACCGTAGGATAACAATTACGATGGCTTTTGTTGACAGTGCCCGGCAGCTGTCTGCTTGGCCCACAGTTTCTGTCCCAAACAATCTCAGTGCGACGTTGTTAGATAGCCTACAGGCGAAAAGACAGAACTAATAAAAATGTCTCGGGGGTTACCGTCACAACTGTGTTATATAAACACCATCAATTGAGAAAACTTTCGTTATTGATTGTCCCTGGGGATGTGTGTCTTTTTCCTCTTGTCTCTAATGAAGCTTTAAATGTCCATAGTGATATTTGGTCTTAATGACTTATGGGTAAAGAATCTCTCGACTAGTGTTGAATTACTTTGTACTGTAGGCTTGTGTCTCGGTAAGATAGTATATGAATTTATGGCATTTGCTGTATCACTACAGAAGTTAGATATTAGAGATATTTTCATTTCTGATACTGTCTTTACAGAATTACCTTTAAAATGTATTTTAACTCTACATGAAGATGACATATTGCACAAGCGTCTATTTTGTAGCAGACATATGGCATCCATGTAACATCATTTAAGATTATACGGTGTATCCTGAATCTAAAGTTTTCATAAAATTTTCTTGTCATGTCTTTTGCCATAAGATTCAGATGTCATATAGTTATGTACAACTCATGATTTTATACACTCTAAGAATTTGTTATTTCCTTGCTGACCTTAAGGTCTTTTGTAAATATCTATTTGTTTTTTGTTAAGAGGATAATATCATTTTGTTAATAAATGCACTTAAGTAGACATGATCTTCCAAAAGTTTATGTAAAAGTGTGAAAAAAAATTGAAGACCTAAAAATCAAAAACAAATCAATTGATATTTATAAAGATATTTTATAGGTATTGTGATTTATGCTAAATTTACTGAAAATTTTCACATCAACTGACTTCAGAAATTTTTTCAACAACACAACATATACATATCTGACATACATTAGATATGTGGTTAGGAAGTTAATTATAAGACAGATTTGTTGTAGCCTAGACATGGACCAATGACTAAGCTGATGTAAGCTACCATTTGATACCGTAGAATATACAGCTTGTTGAAACATAGATTAATCATTAAAAATCTCTGAATGTTACCAGTCAACAACTGTCATTTTTGTTGCAAGTACTTTCAGTAATTGAGAAATTCAATCCTACCTTTGTTTCTCATTAGATATAGTTTCTGCCTTTTCCGTAACTTAACACTATAGGCTAGGGATATGTGTTGTATAATTAGCATCAATTTTGAATAGATCTCCACAGTGTCAATTGCAAATATTACATTTTAAAATACCTAATGATGGATTGTTTTGTATGGAGACAAAATATTTCCAGAAATTGTCTTATTAATATCATTAAATTTAAATTAGCTAAAACTGACATGTCATTTGATTCTGTCTGTTTAGATAGAGCAATAATGTTCTATTTCAATACAGTTAATGTCATTTTGGAGCTATTTGATAGAAAGAAGTTTTCAAAACCGCTACAATAATCTGCTTGAAACATTTATTTATGTTAGTTATGATTCATCAACAGATTGTAAGTGACCCTCACAAATTTTAGAAAAACAAAACAGCTTTTTATCTGTCTCATTGCATTTGTCACTTAATCAATATTTTTTTCTTGAATTTTTAATAGACAAAATTATTTTATTTTTTTATGTCACCAGTAATTAGGCCGAAAGAACTCCTGTATTTTTGACAAACCTGTAGACACTTCCAAATGAATATACTGTCTTTTCTGATTTAACATCTACGTACTGCCCGTTATCAAAGCAGATAGTCACATAGGAGAGCAATATCTATCACACTTACTAGTTATCATGATAAACAAAGGACTTGGTACTTCATGTATCAGAAGAAACATTGTCTGGGTCAATATAGATCAGTACACAAAGTCATATATGATTCAAGAGATGTGAGGAGGCGGAAGGGAGTGGTGATCTTGTATTATGCACCATTTTCCTGGTTGAGATCTTTATATCCATTTCTATATATAATAAATTAGACACTTTATACATTTAAATAAGAAACTACAACAAATACTGTAAGTTTTGACCTCTTGTCCACTTCATTTTGGGTGGCTAAATTACTTGCCTATTTATTTTGAACTCTTGTCCACTTCATTTTGGGTGGCTAAATTACTTGCCTATTTATTTTGAACTCTTG